CAGCAGCAGCAGCAGCAGTAGTGGTAGTGCAAGTGGAAGTAGAAGTAGTATGTAGTAGTACTAGTAGTACTAGTAGTAGTAGTAGTAGTAGTAGTAGTAGTAGTAGCAACAGTAGTACCTAGTAGTTGAACACGAAAGGCCCCGATGCAAGGATCTGGCTAGCCCCAAGACCAGTGGCAAAAAAGTACCTAGTAGTTGCAGCTAGTACTAGTACCAGTACTGCTACTACTTCTACTCCTACTACTACTCTCCTACTGCTACTGCTATACTAATGCGTTGTACCACTACTAGTCAACAACAAGAAGTAGTGGTGCCGATGCTGCGACGACGACTACTACTGCTACTGCTGCTGTCTGGGAAACCAACAATGGGAGCAGTATCTCCAGCCGCGAAGTCAGCATTGCGACATGGCGACCACAATTAAGTTGTTATGCTAATGATGCAGGGTTCCTACTCCTGAATACTCTGCCTGATGCTCCCAAGCTTGCCCTGAGCGCTAGGATGCGGAGTGAAGCGCTCGTGGTGTAGTTTCCGAAACACTGCTTGCTCAGCTACCTCCAGACTAGCATTATGATTGTTTAAACCAGGCACCTCACTTCCGGGCCACCATCGTCCGCCCGAAGCTCGCAACTTCAGCTACCTCAGGGAATCATACACTTGAAACCCGAAGCTCGCTGGCCACGCCTAACAACTCGCGAACCCCTGACCCTTCAATTCCTTGCAGTTTCAGTGTGGATGGAGAAAGAGCAAGGAGGACATCGCCGTAAACCCCAACCCTCAGCCCGATACACCCTCAGCTGCCACCCCCGCTCAGAAAATAAGTTTCACCTCCAACCGACTACGCACGGTGAGTGCCGAAACCCCGATGCCTTAAGCCTACGCCTTAAACTCTTAAAACCTAAACTGCTGGAAGGGATTTGCTCCCGCAATCCGGGTGTGGCAACCGCCACGAGACTCGGCTCCCTGACTGGCTGGCAGCAGAGGACCTGAGAGGGCTCCGAAAAATGAGGGATTGTTGGGAGTGAGTTTATTTTTGGTATCGTCGTATCCCTTTACATAGTCCTCAAAAAACACTTTAAATTTCAGGAAGGGTCGGGGTCGAGTTCCGCGTCACATGGTAGTCCACCAGATCCTCGCCTACATGCCGGAGCACGGCGGCGCCAGCTTTGTTTGCCGAGCGTGGGCGAAGCTTTGTTTGCCGGGAACTCGGCTACCAGACAGTATTTGGACAGTTTGATATCAACCCTACGGTCTTAGATTCTATTAGTATGTTATGGGGTTGTTGGGGCTACCGTGGCTTGCTTTCTTGGTGAGCGCTAGGTTTCTGAGGCTCGGCGACGATACGTGTGCCCTTTTCTGTACGGTTGTCATTTGCTCCTGGGCCTTTCGAAGTGGCACACGTATTCTCCCCAGGGCCCCTCTCTCAAGTCTTCGAGTTCTGACGAGTTCCCTGCGGTGCGACTTGTTTCAGCTGGGCGGGTGGCAAAATTAGTATGTTAGTGTGACTCTTAAGGGGTTCAGAGTCACTGGCTGCGGTGCGAAGTGCCGGTTCAGTCAGGAGTTCAAGATTTGTGGACACATGGCTACGGCAGCAGAGGTCCAAAGGCTCAAGAAAGCAAAGTCAGTCAGTAAAGTCTCCCGTGTCATGTTACCCCACATTTTGAAGCGTTTCCATGCAAGATCAATTGTTTCAATTGTTTTTTAAATGTGGCTTCTTGTTGTTTCGTTTGTGTGCATCCCGCTATGCTCTTACGGAGGGCCATTCGCACCCCACCGGTCGGAATGATGTGTCGCAGAGCACCCGCTGAACCTCAAGGTGCTGTCGAAGATTTGGCGTGAAGCCTGACTTTGCAAGCGAATGAGACCATGCAGACCATGCATTATGTACATGTCCAAAAGGTTGTTATGATAATGACAACGTGACATGATCCACGCGAGTAATTATCGCATGTACCCAATATGGCCTGAGGTTCAAGATGATCCCCTTCCCTTGTGTTTCCTTTGAGCCTTCATATCTCCTTGTGTGAGTGTAAGCATCGAAAACTGGAACTTGATCTGTAGCCAAAGAGGCATGAAACCCTGTGAAAGCGAGGTCTCATCATCCCTGGGGGAGGGAGTTTCGAAGATCTCCAAAGCTAGCCGAAAGCGCGCGGCCCTCAGAATCGAAAGCAAGCTCTTGGAAAAGCATTGTTGCTATCATGTAAAGTGTCGTTCCTCTCAACATTGTGTGATAGCCATGACGGCGGTGCTAGAAGGTTCGACATCAGTTTTTGGGACTGGTGGGTTCCTGAAATTAGGGGTTCCTGAGTCCTTGTTACGAAGATCCCACTACCTAGACAGCATGTCAAAGTCATTTCTTTTCCGAAACTCCCTAAGCAAGTTCTGGAAGAAAATGAAATCATCGTTATGGTTGTGAGCTGGTATGGCCTCTCACCAGGATCGGACCAAGAGCTGGGTAAAACGCAGCAACTACTGTTGTCGAGGTGTTGAAGTTTCTCCGTCCTGCCATGGAAGCGGCCGGTGTTTGCAAGGCTCCCTGGGCTTGGAGTTTGAGTTACCACCATCCCTACATGTTCATTACTTGCAGGTCAACCCTCTCTTTTGTCGATTTCGGTGACTGCAGCGACTGTAGAAGATCATCCGTGCGGCGGACACTTACCGCTTACGAACTATTTGCATCTTTGCTCGCTTTTAAAACAGAAGCAGGCCCAGCAGCTGGTAGTTTTGAACAATGTTTTTTTCGGAATCTTTTGACCAGGTGTGGTGGCAAGTTGCTGGCTCTTTCCGCAGCCTTGCAGCCATTGGCGTGCTGCATGCGGCAGACCAACTCTGTGTCCCATTTTTTGGCCTGGCTTGGCAGTGCATCCTTCGCAGTTTTAGGCCCTAGCAACAGCAACAACAACCGTTACTTTTTGTTGTCGTCGTCGTAGAAGCAGTAGTAGTAGCAGCAGTGGTAGTGGTAATCGTAGTAGTAGCAGGTGCAGCAGTAGCAGTAGTAGTCGTCGTCGTCGTAGTCGTAGTCGTTTTCGTAGTAGTGGTGGTGGTACTGGTATTGGTAGTGTGCAATTAATATTTGCGGTAGTAGTGTGACCTGATTCTGCTAGCAGTGCATCACAGAAGCTACAGCGTGGCATCTGCACCTCTATGTCAGAGCAAAAATATCAGCGATACGAATACATCTGACGACAAGAAAGGGTGGCTCCATCAATCAGGCATCACAGTCGAGTCCTCTTCCGTGAAGGTCCTGGAGGCGCCTTGGCTCTTAGGAATTGGGCATTTCGTGATTACCGGCCTTCCGTGTGAATCTTTCAGAGAACCAGTGCTTTGTGCACTAGATCTGGGCTCTTTGTCTCAGTTTTTCTGGGACAATTCAAGCTGTCTTCTTTTCAGCGCCCGGTTTGCACTGGCAGCGAAAGCGCATCTGGCTTAATAAGGATATGTTTACCGCAGGCGGTCCCTGATGCAGGAGCTCATCAACCTCTCAGCAAAATTCATGCATTCGGATGGAGCACTCAACATAAGCCCTATACCTGCACGGTATGGCTTAGAAAACCACAATTTCCGGTCTACGCTTTGCCACGGGCCGCACGAACGATAGTTCTTCCCTGTTGTTATTGGTGTGACGGTAACAGCTACTATATGCTGTAGGTTTAGTTTCGACGACTGTTGTTCCAGGCTGCCAGTGGGAAGTGCACGAAGATCTGGGTACCAGCCTCCGCCAAGACACGACGGGTGCTGAGTGTGCACATCGTATGTAGCAGGAAGTGATGTGCTGAACGCTGAACAGCTCGTGATGCTCTCTTTGGATAGGGTGTGCTCTAGCCCTTTTGAGACGGCCCAGGCTTCTACTCACGCTCATCAGGAGATGATATTGTTGCACGCAGATTGTACTTGAGCGCAGCTTTGTACACACTTGTGCCATCCGATCATCCGCACCACATGGTCTTCTGCAACACGTTCCGAAGCACATCTGATGTATCACTTTTGAGACGTGGATTCACAAAGCATCCCGAGGCCAAGCATAAACAAGGCATGGTCGTCAGAATGAGTGCACTGTTTGCAGTGCCGAGGAGTGGAGTCGACGACAATCACCATCATCGTCGCCATAGCCACCATCGTCACCCTATTAAGGCTTGCACCATGCAGCCCTACGGCAAAGGGGTTGGTCGAAACTGCAGCAACGGGACGAATCACGCAGCATGATCCTTTGGCAATAGTAACAACAACAACGACCCCCACGACCGCACCAGCAATCGCAACAGCTGCGGTAACTTCGACACTACCAGCACGGGACGACCTTGAGTAGTGAGAAGGCAACGCCCAGTATCCTGGCTTGAGCCAATCGCACTATGGCCCTTTGCATCCTCGATAGTAGTAGCATATAGCTGCTCCCCGGAGCCCGATCTGATTTTTCAAAGCCCTACAGTATATGCTCGGAGTTTTGCGACCGAGGCGCGGATATGTGGAAGGTCTTCGGCTCAGGGGGCTTTCTCGGCTTGAAATGGCCAAGGACATTGAGGTGTACTGATGTCGGCGGACTGTTGTTGTTTTGGTTTGCGGTTTTTGTGCTGTGGCCAGGTTTGTGTTTTGTTTAAGGGTCTGAGTTTACCAGTGGCCTGTCGGAGAGAACAGGGTAGCCTGAAACCTGAACCACAAAACCTGCAGGCGCATTGCTCCAGAGAGGAGAGCTCATGTTCTATTCTTTGACAATGACATTTAGGTGCTACGGACACCCAGACGAAACCCGAGCCCCAAAAGCCCAAGCCTCCAACTGTGAGCAGTGCTGTGGGCTTCGAGCGAAGTCGGAGCGTGTCGGAGCGTGTCGGAGGTTTAGAGTCATGTCCGGAACGCCGCTCCATCGGTATGCTGCTGCACTGAGTGAGAATCCAGAAGTGGAGCAGACCCGACGGAGGTCGGGAAGGGAGGAGATCCAGTTTCCGATGTACACTATAGAGATGGGGACACTTCTTGAGATGACGGAGCTGAAGCCTTTCGAAGACATGTTGGCCATGCAGGCTCTCACAGCCTTCAGTGAAAGCTTGGGGCACGCGATGTTCGTCTCGCACCAGTGGGCTGGTCACCATCACCCGGACCCGAAGCATGAGCAGTTTCGAGTTTTGCAAGAGGCCATGAAAAATGTCCTGTCAGGTGTTAGCAAGGTTCGACTTCCAATCTCTGCTGAGCTGGCTTTTGGCCGTCTCCGTTGTCCTAGCGCAGGTGACTTCACGTCGAAGCCCCTCTTCGTGTGGTACGATTACCTTTGCTGTCCTCAGGACGTCTCTTCCGTGGCGAGTCAGCACCGAAAATGCGCGATTCGCAGCATCCCCACATACGTCGCCAGATGTGAGTACTTCATAATCCTGTGCCCCGTGGTGGAGCACGCGGATGGAGGAATGATGCTGAACTTGGCATCCTGGGCTGAAAGGGGATGGTGTCGCACGGAACGACTTGCTCGGGAGCTTTCAGCTCGCAAGCAGGGCTACAGCATCGTGATTGAGGGTGCTATGCAGCAAACCTTGAGCCTGGACATTTTGAGGCTCTTAGAGGCACCAGGCATGGGGAAGTGGTCCCGCGAGTCTGACAAGCCCATTGTGACGAGCGCACTGACTCAGATGATTTGGAACAAGCTGCTCTACCTCCTGGAGCAAGGCGATGTACATGGCTATCGGTTCCTCCTGAACCGGCAAGTGCCCTGCTGTTTCCGTGGCCTGGATGCGGAGCCTCTCGATGGCCCTGTCCCAGCTTTCAGTACCGAGATAGACCCCTTCCGGGACGCTGCTGCTTTTCACTTGGCCAGATTTCTGCATCAGAACGGCTTCCGGAAGCCGTTAGAGCGCAGCTCTGGTTGGTCGCCGCTTTGCTTTGCAGCCATGAACGGGAACAAACAGCTCGTCCGAGCACTTCTCGACCAAAAGGCGAGTCCTGACGATCGGATCGGAAGGTCTGAGGGGTCTCTCTTCCCGGCCCGGGAGAGTGTCCTTGCCATGGCGGTTCGATTCCACAACGCCGAGGTCGTGGAGGTGCTCTTGCAAGCTCGCGCCGCGGTCACGAGTAGAGACATGATCAATGCTACTCCTGCACATTGGGCGGGCTTGGCAAACAATGCAGCTGGCCTGCGCCTTCTCTGCCATGCACGTGCAGATCTTCAACGAACAAGCATGGTTGGCATGAATGTCTTTCAAGTTGCCTGTTCAAACGGCGCAGTGGACGCGATGGCTGAGATTCTGGCCCAATTTCCCTCGACGGACTTACGACTCGGATTGCACTATGCGCTGCTTTTCTATGGTGCCTACGAAGATCCGATTCGGTTCTTGTTGCGTGCCAAGGCAAACTTGAATGAGCCGTTCAATGTTCCGATCCAACAACCAGTCTGGTGGATGCTGCTGCACGTGGCAAGCGGGCGGCACAGGATCAGTCCATCAAGCTGGACTCTTCTGGCATATCATCACAAAGGGGCAACCCCCTTGATGTTTAGCCTGATGACCGGCAACTTCGACATTGCAGCTCTTCTTCTCTCTTCCAGGGCCTGCCCGGATCTTGCAAACGCTCGCAAGAAGACCGCGGCGGATCTTGCTCGAGCTGTGGAGGCACCAACACTCTTGGTTGAGGCATTGCGAGGCCCAATGCTTCTAGATGAGAGTGAAGACACTCCGGACGATTGTTTTTTCATTTGAGGTCTTTCAGGAGCCAGGTCCTGAATATCTGCAAGACTTGGACTTCTCTTTGTAGAACCACTAGGTGTTGCTGGTATCTACTTGTGCCGCCGCTGTGCGTTTTGGTGTTCGTTTAGCCGTCTGTTCATCTGTTGACCTCAATATTTGTTCTTCGTCCGGCGACATACATACATGCAGTACTCTGTGCATACGTACATGACTGCATGTATGAAAAAGCGGCATCGGCGCTATGCTGTCACAAGTGTGTCAGTTTCTCACGGCCGCTGCATGAATCTTCCCCTTGCCCTGAATTCGTACTGTTACGTGAAAAAGCATGAGCAGTCGTGCTCGTATTGTGCCGTTTCACCGCATTCGAAGGCCATAAAGGCCTGGTCTGTGAGGAATCCCTGATTCCTCAGTCTTGCACTTTTTTTTCAGCATGTTCCATTGGCACCAAGACCGCTGGATGATCAACTTCATGCCAGCGTCTGCCAAGGACATTCAGCTATTCTATCTCGAGTTTGAGCATGCCCCCAGCCCGAAACTTGTCGAGTTGTGAGCGTCGAAAAAGCCTCAGCGCCTAGCCTGAAAGCATGATGTAGGGGCCTTAAATATACTGTTCTAATTACTACAGTCCCTACATTGCCCTCTTCCCAGGCCTTCCTGGCAGCGGGAGGTGGCTCCGATTTGGGAGCACAGCCTCTTCAATCAGTCCGGGAGTGCCCTGCTTACCGATTTGTTCATCCATCCATCCATCCATCCATCCATTTTCGCACATATACCTCTCCATATCGCCATATCTACGCATGTACTTATAAACATGAGCATCAACAGTGGGCTAGAATCTCGCGACAGCGTGTTCGTACGGTCATCGAGTTCTCAACTCGTATCACAAAGGGTTATGTTGCTTCCATTATCTATGTTTTCACATGGGCTAGGGGTTTGTCTTCGCTCTCAAAGACTGCTTGGTGAGTGTCGTGGATGTAAAGTTTGGTTTGGGACGTTTTATTTTTGCGAGTCACGTCACGTCCTCTTGTGGCCTCTGGTGTCCAAGGCATGGAACTCATCGGACTATGCTTCGAAAGTGACATTCTCTGCCGTACTGAAATATGAGTGGTGACAAATCGGATTGACACGACGCGGCATGACGTCGATGCTGCGGGGGCTGGTGCTGGTGCTGCGGTGCGTGTCCTCGTGTTGCTGATCATGTGCCGATGATTTTGCTCATGGTGTTAGGCTATAGTCGCCACCATGTTTCATGATCATGGTTGCCAGTGTATTGTGGATTTGTTCTTCCTGTGTGCTTATTTAGTCTCTGAGTTCGTTTACTTTTTGTTCACTCAGTTGGTCCATGACAGGCGCAGTAACACATTTTCTGCTGCGTTCATGGCAGCCAGGATGCTACTCTGGCCGTGGATGATGAGGTCGGTGTTAGTGGCCGTTTCACTTGTTTATTCTCCAATCAAACACTGCGCTGGTCCTGACGATGAGCCTCTGCCACGAAGCATTGCCATAGTCCCAAACTCGACGCTATAGCCAAGACTTCCCTGTGCAATTGATGAATCTTCTGGCTCTTTCGCCTACCCAGAACTCCTATATTCTCGCATCTCTTTCTCCCGATCGTCCCGAGATGTGTTCCAACAGCCACCGAGAGCCGATACTTTGTCGCAAGCCCAGGTGCGTCATTTCCGCAGCTCCCAAACCCGAGGCCGTGCTTCTTCCGAGGGGTCTCCGAAGGTTTGTTTTCATGCTCGGATTCGGGTTCCTTGCTTAGCACCTAGCCTCGCACTGACATGGACTACTGCCTATAGTTTAGCATTGGTACGACGACGGCACGACGGCGGGCGCGGCAACTGCTGCTGGTTCCACCTCGCACCACAACCACCACCACCACCACGAGTAGTAGTACTACTACTACTACTGCTACTACTACTACTACTACCACTACCACTACCACGACAACAACAACTACGAGTACTACGAGTACTACTACTACTACTACTGCTACTACTACTACTACTACTGCTACTACTACTCCTACTCCTACTACTACTACTGCTTCCACAATTACCACTGCTACCACTACTACTACTACTACTCCTCCTCCTACTACTACTACTACTACTACTACTACCACTGCTGCTACTACTACTACTACTCCTCCTACTACTACTACTACTACTTCCACCACTACTTTCACCACTTGCACCACTGCTACCACTACTAGTACTACTAGTACTCGTACTAGTACTAGTACTAGTACTAGTACTAGTACTAGTACTAGTACTAGTACTAGTACTAGTACTTGTACTACTACTACTACTACTACTACTACTACTACTACTACTACTACTACTACTCCTACTATTACTACTACTACTACTACTGCTGCTGCTACTACTACTCCTGCTGCTACTACTACTACTGCTGCTACTACTACTACTACTACTCCTGCTACTCCCACTACTACTACTCCTACTGCTACTACTTCTACTACTGCTACTACAACTCCACTACTACTGTAGTACTGCTGGTTCTACTACCACTACTTTCCGGACACAGCAAGAGGAACTTACTTTGCATTAGCAGCATTCTGACAGGGCCCGCAACCCCGGCGCATTGAGTGTCGAGGTCGCTCAAACTTCTTCAGCACCCCCTGGTCCGAGGACCCTACTTAATTACGTGCTGACACATTTATGTGCTCTCTGCGGCTTATACTATAATCCAAGCACAATAAGACGACTACTGCTTCGATTGCTCCTACTAGTCATCTTCCTACTACTCTTAAAGCTCCTGCTGCTCCTACTCCTCCTACTACTACTGAGTCTACTACTGCTACTACTACCAGTACTACAACCACCACTACCATGTATTGCTGCTGCTGCTGCTACGACTACTACTACTCCTGCTGCTGCTGATGCTGCTACAACACTACTGCCACTACTACTACTACTACTACTACTACTACTACTACTACTACTACTACTACTACTACTACTACTACGACTACCACCGCTACCACTACCACTAATACTTGAAGTGGGCTTGCAACTCCCAATACTTCTCGAATGCAAATGTGGCAGCTGTCATTGCGTCAATGCAAGCAAAGAAAACTTGTGATTAGACTCGGGCAGCAAGTCCTTCGGTAGCGACGGTTGCAGCAGATAGCAGTACAAGAGTTTGCCGTCTGCAGCTTTTGGACATGCTCAAGGGTAGAACTCCTGCCCTTCTGGCAAAGAAAAAAGGCCACGGAGAGAGACGTAAACTGTCCGGGGATGACGAATGCCGAGCCCGTGGGCTCGGCCTCGGACAACGACCCAGGAGGCCGGAGAGCTTCCTCTTTTTGTGTTGTTTTCACGCGTTGTGTAGTGGCTGGGAAGTTCAAGGTGGGAGATGCCATTTCGTGGGTGCGAGGGTGTGCAAAGTGACACTTCTATGCTCTTCCACCCTGAACTCTTAACCGCGAGGAATTGCGTGATCCGGTTTCATAACTTACGATTCCTGACGAAGTCTCCCATGCAGGCTCAAAGCCCCGACCACAGCAGCCATAGCACGCGCTAAAACTCCTTAAAGTTGCGTTGCCGCATATGTTGTCCATGGTAGGTATGAAGGTTGTTGGGAAGCCTGACTGACTGAGCTTTCAAGAAGCATGCCTGGGAGGCAATGCCGTCGCTCAGGGCAACCATAACTTCCAGAGCGCTGCTCTGAGCTTGTCGGCTCGGGGTCGTTTGGGGTTTCCGGATTAGGCGTCCGGCCCGGAGAAGATATTTAGAGAATTTAGAGCATTCCGAAAGACACCGGTGTGAGATAGAAGAGTTTCTTGCTGGGATAGAACATCTCAGGCAGGGCAACCCAGCAGCTGCCAACGCCAAAATTCTCCGCTAAATGCTTCGACTCAAGGCTTCGGATGCTGGAAATCTCCGTGTGTAGACACCTCATAGTGTAAACTTCCGAACCATTTTCTGAGCCGCATACCTTTTTATCCTGGACCGGTGTTGTTCTGTCGCGGTCCTTTCGTGCGTTCCTGCGCTTCCTTGGCTGTCGCGCGGTGCTCGGTGAAACATGTCTCGAAGAATGCTTGGACCCTGTGATGCGGTGTACTCTACCGCCACAATTTCCTGGCTAAACGAAGCAGCAACAGAGGGGTGCCCATTCAGGGTTTGTGTGGCTGTGATCTCTTCGCAGCACAACATTCCAGTGGAGCGCCACGCAATTGAACGTTCTAAAGGTTTCCCCCCAGGTTGCCAACCAGAACTTCTGGCCGCCACTACCATAAACCACGACCTGCTCGAGCAGACGGCATAACTACGCTGTTGCACTTGTGGCCGATGTAACTGCCCACATACCGTAGCGCGCGCTGAGCATGAGTTTCTGTGATGCTTCGCCTGAGGAGGTTCGTCAAACGGCTCCCTAGCAGATCGCATAGTAGGAGGCTCGTCCTCTCGCCCGGTTTGTCTTTGCGGATTTGCTTGTGGAGTGGTTCTGGGCACTCAGACGGATATCAACGAGCTACATAATTCAGAGAGCCTTCGTACAAAAAATCCAAGTGTTACGAACTTCACATCCCCACCAGCACTAGGGTTTGCGATGCATGAGGGTTTCATGAACCAGTGACTCTCTCAACTGTTGGGGTTTGCCCGCTCTCGGGGTCCTTGCAATGATTGAGGTTTGAGCCTTGCTGGAACTAAGCTCCGCATTGATTTTCAGAGTATGCCGAATGTGATGCCGTTCAGGTGTCCCTAATGCCTAACTCCTAAGTGTTCCGACATTTGCTGACTGGTTTGGGACATGTTTCATTTCGAGGTTTGTCTTGCTTTCGAGTCTCTGCCTAAAGTTGGCTGTGCATGAGGAGTCAGCTCGTGTTTGTTCCGTTGCATTGGTAGCAGTTGGGTTCACGGAGCATTTAGATGTGAGGTGCGACGTGGCCGCACAATCAGAACAAGGCGTCCCTAATTCCTAATTACATGATGCAATTTGTCTCCCGGGTCCTTGCATCTCAAGTGCCGAACCCTGCACCAAAAGGGGCATCAGCAAACCTGCGGTTGAGCTTCGAGTGATTTGCGCAAGTTGCAGGCGGTCCGGCGCATGTTGATCGAGACGATCTCCTTGCCAGGGGGATGACCAATCAGCACCATGTCCTGCAAAGTGCTGCCCAAGACACTGATCTGTAGCAGTTGCAAGTATGACTTGATTGGCTTGGGCCACACACACACTCACAATTACATACCATTGCGGCCAACATGAGCATGTTCACAGACTCTGCCGGCCTGCACCACAACTCCCAACATGATGCCACTTGTTACCAGGTTGAAACAACCCCCCGGCCTTGCCTAGCACTGCTTAGCTTTAGTCGAGAATTTGTGGTCTATGTGGAGCCTTGCCTACCGTGTGCGCGAATGTGAGCGTCGAAACCTGCAAGCCCCAAGCCTGAACGAGGCAAGTGGACGCCATTGAAGTCCAAGCCCGCATTGCGGAGGAGCTCAGGCCGGAGGGCCGGAGGTTTCTCTCTCTCTCTCTCTCTCTCTCTCTCTCTCTCTGCCGTTGCATCCAGAGGGTCTAGCAGCACCAGGCAACGCATGAGGTTAAAGCCCTTGAGGCCCCTCACGAAAACAAAAGAGCAAGCCGCCCTTCAAGCAGCAGGCTGTGCCGACATATGCCAGGCACACACCGCGGCCTTCACTTTGGCGGCCCACTCACAACTCAAACAGGAAACCTCAACAACCACTTCAGCCTCACGAACCACTTTGAAGTTGGTTGCACATGCATCTTTACACGAACTCACTGTTGCAGGGTCATCTTCCACTAACAGACGCACGTAAAACGTCCGCGGCATCAGATCGGCCAGCAGCACCCGAAGCACTCGCCATAGATCACAACTGTTCAAGGACACATGCACCCAGCCATCTCGCCGCCTCAATGTGCTAAGGCACCAAGCGTCACCAGCAAGGGTCAGGCACCAGGAGGTTTGGTTGTGAGGATTTCAAGTAGGAAAACCCGGAAACCCCAAATTTGACAGACACAGAATGCCTCGAGCTTGACCAGGGCGCACATCGTGCGATGGGTTCTGTGCTTCATGTGCACGCTTCTCGGCTGTAAATTGGAATGTGCTTTCTCAAGCAGCATGAAGTGGCCCAAGGCAAGACATGGGCGATTGATGCCCGGGGGTCCACTCATGCTTTGTTGTCTGTCTTCGCTTGACGGATGTATGAGACTGAAGCCGATTCAAGCACCTTGCCCATTTAATCTCTTAGTTGCACCTGTTAACAGCAGTCCCTCCCAACAATCGCCTCTGGAAGACAAGCATTTAATATTGCGGGTCCATGTGCGTAATGTTGCCTTCCTCAAAGGGGCTTCCTTTAAACCCTTTTTCAGTCCGCAACCTGCAGTCCTATGTTGCGGCGGTTCCTGCCCGGCAGTCTTGCCTGTCCCCTTCCTGCGCCGCAGTTCCTGAAGTCCTGGGAGAGTTTTGGGAAGGTTGCGTTGGCAAAAGGAGCTCAATTCAGACTTTTTACACACGCACACTCGCTCTGAAATTGCAAGTTTTTGGATGGCCTGCAGATCTCGAACTGCCAAGACTCTCGCAAGACAGAAAGGGGGAACGAGAGAGACACAGAGAAGGAGAGCTCTGATCAGCAGCAGTTTGCAGCCGAAGTTTTGCTGTTCCGGCACGTTGAGATGGCTTCTGAAGACACCATCCTACTTCGCCGCGATTGAGTTAATTCTTGCCCAATTCAAAAGTTTTGAGGATATCTCGGTATCCGACGGGCTCCGAAAAACAGAGTATTGCTACTGGTTTGCGGTGGATAGTTGCAAGATGAGTTTAGGGTTGTATGACTACCTTAACCCCACGTAACCTACCTTTTTAAGGACTTATATAAAGAAATCATATTAGGGAACCCTGAAAAGGTAGGTTCCTTAGGGTCCAGGTAACACTTCTCCCCCATACCATCTGTAAACTGGAAATGGCATTGCTGAATCTGCCAACACAAGCCCAAAATTTAAACGCCTACAAACCTGTTTTGCCTTAACCGTGGCCCTGCCCTAAACCTTAGCCCTCGTACCCTCCAAGACCAATCCTCAAACTCTCAGGCTCTGCGTCGTCGGTGTCACCTCCTTTGGTCTGATGATATGGCTTATCATCAGCCAGGGTCCCGGTTGGTGTGTCGGGTTTCAGGCGGTTGGTAGTTTTGGGGACCGCATCGGGTAGGGATTAGGGTGAGCGACTCGGCTTTAGCGGTTGGGCTTTTGAGTCCTGGCTCAGCTGCGAAGTTTCGGGGTGCATGATATGTCATGAAGACATGCAAATGCATGAATCTGCTTAGGTACGCTCCTGAGAGGATATGGTCGGGGCTGCATTGTCAGGTCGTCAACCTGAACCTTAAACCCTCGCCCTAGCCCCTGAAACCTACGATCTAATCATCAAAACCACATAAACCGGAGATATACAGACACGAAAGACACATACTTCTGTAGTCCTATTGTGCGCGCGCGGAGTGTTCTTTTTTTGTGGACATCGGAGGCTTGTTCAAGGCCTTGGGCTGAATGAGGACTCTCGGTTTGCTTAAAACAGCGATTGCGAGCCGCATGGATACAGTGTGGATACCGGATGATACGGGCGTGTGTGTGTGCCCAAACCACACGAAATCCTGGCTTGAACGCAGAAAGCCTTGCCAAAACCAAGGTTTCCCGCACACAGCCAAGGAAAACCTTGTAAGCACCAGCTGACAAACCGATGGATTAGTAAACTTGTCTAGGGGCACCCCTGCTCATTCGTTTTGATCTCTGCCGGTCTCGTTGGTTGCTTCTATTTTACCAAGGTGTTCGACGGCCGTTTGTGGTACACTGGTACACCTTAGTTGTACCATTGTTTTGTCACCTTCCCGTTCCAACAAAACCTTGTTGTTACCAAGGCTTTCGGCACCTATCCCTTTTCGCATGCCCACTAAAATCCTTGGTGATACCAAAGGTTTCTGTATTCAGCCGCTTAAAACCTCCTTCAAATTAAGAAACCGATTAAGCCGCGAATCTCAATCTGTGCCAAGGGCACCGGTTGGTTTCGTTACTTTGGGGTTTGGGGTGTAGCTTGTAGGATTAACCATCGTCTCCAACATAACCGCAAATGTACCCCCATCAACTGTAGAAAACAGTTCCGGTGTCCTGGTGAGGCTGGAGCAACGCCAGGTGGCAGATGCTGGGTTTGGGACAGAATGCTGCAGCTGGCAACCTTGATATGTCCAGGTTTGACAAGCACTGTTCACGTCGACAGCAGTAGCCACAGCCATAGTGTGGCAGAAAGCCGATTATGCAGCGGCTGTTTCAGCAGGGCGAAATATGAGCCGATGCAACGGCAGCACAAGTGGAAGCAGTGGTAGTTATTAGCAGTTCCTGTGGAGTAGTGGCCGTCGTAGTCCCTGTCTCCATCCTTGTCGTGGTAGTAGTAATCATAGTAGTGGTAGAAGCAGCAGCAGCAGCAGCAGCAGGAGGAGCAGGAGGAGGAGGGGGAGGAGGAGGAGGAGGAGTAGTTGTTGTTGTTGTTGTCGTCGTCGTGGTACAGTAAGTTATAAGTAGTAGTAGTAGTAGTAGTAGTAGTAGTAGTCGTCGTCGTCGTCGTAGTAGGAGTAGGAGTAGTAGCAGTAGTAGTGGTAGTGGTAGTGGTAGTAGTAGTAGTAGTAGTCGTCGTCGTCGTCGTCGTCGTCGTATTCGTGGTAGTGGTAGTGGTAGTATGTACAGAAACCGTCGTCTTTTTGTCGGCAGCATCGTAGCATACAGGCCCGGCGCATGAAGTATTGGTTTTGACCACCTCGGCAGGTGTTCCAAGAATACTCGCACCTAAAGATACCTCAAGCAACCAATGTTACCAAACATCAGCAGTGATACAGTCAGTTTTGTCCTGGCAGTAAGTTCTTGATTCTGTTTAGATGCACATGAAGGCCAAGCACACTGTGCAGCACTCCTCTACGCTCGTTTACGAAATTGTGCATGCGTGCTCGGCAATCCGCTTAGAAGGATGAATACTCAGCGAGATTGAAGCTAGCTCGACACACAGACAGGAAGAGGGAGAAGATATCTCGTTGACTGTGGGAACGGCCTCGTGAGCGTCTTGACAGCTTAAGGGGCTCTTTGTGAACCCACCATGCTTCACGCTGTGCTGCAGAAACGATGCGCTATCGTGCGATGCCCCGCTCATCGAGTGGGTAACAGTGGTGCAACTTGGCAGTGATATATGTGTGATTTAGAGGTTTACCGCTTGGAAACCCTATGTTCTACAGTGAGCTGTGGCATTCAGGTATTTTATCAAGATCTACATGTGCCTTGGTTGCAAAATCCAGGTAGTGATCCTCAGAACCGAACTGGCATTGGACTGCAAGCCCACTTGGGACAACCATCGGACACGCTGCCATCCGAGGTTCTTATTTCACAAGTATGTCATCCGATGTGTTTGCAGATATGACCCACGAGAAAATCCAACACCACCTCCTTGGTACGTGAAGCTGTACAACTTGCTTCTTGGTTGCAGGCTTACGCGTCTTCGGAACCATGGAGCACGTTAGGGTGAGCATGGCAAGAACAAAAAAGCCCAGCTCTAGTTCCTAATAGTGTCTGCCACACCCTGCATCGTAGGTTCGTCCTAACCAGGCGGGAGGCAGGAAAAACAATGTCTGCCGGTGTTCTGCTTGCCGTTTTTTCTGCCTTCACCCGAACACACTCGAAAAAGCTTTCCTGTCCAGTGGCGACATGCAGGGGTTCAACATGAGCTTCAATATGAGTGGAAGGGGAAGTGGGGTTTACCTCCTGATTGCGCTCAAGAAATGTAGAAGCCTGCAGCCAAGCCCTTTGTGAATAGAGAGGGTCAGGCCAACTCAGACAGAACGACTAGGTAGCTCTCTGGGGCATGACCTGTGATGCTCGAAAGTCAGGAATCCGGGTTTGTATGGTTCGGGGTCATTGTTCCGAACCCGAATACTAAATCTATGCTTTCGAGAGTGTGAGTGCGTCAACATACACAAACTTAGCAAGAGACCGCTTGGAGAGGAGCGAAACTCGCAATGGGAACTCCACGACACCTGGACGACGACGACGACAACTTCGACGACTGCTACTGCTACTGTTAGTTTCTGCTACTGCCACTGCTCCTGCTGCTGCTGCTGCTCCTGCTGCTGCTGCTGCTGCTACTTCGACTGCTACTGCTGCTGCTGCTGCTGCTGCGGCTAGTACTACTACTACTGCTACTACTGCTGCTACTGCTGCTGCTGCTGCCACTACTACTACTACTACTACTACTACTACTACTACTACTACGACTACTACTACTCCTACTACTCCTATTACTACTACTACTACTACTACGACTACTACTACTCCTACTACTCCTATTACTACTACTACTACTACTACTACTACTACTACTACTACTGCTACTGCTACTGCTACTGCTACTGCTCCTGCTCCTGCTCCTGCTCCTGCTCCTGCTCCTGCTCCTGCTCCTGCTCCTGCTCCTGCTCCTGCTACTGCTACTGCTACTGCTACTGCTACTGCTACTGCTACTGCTACTGCTGCTGCTGCTGCTGCTACTGCTGCTGCTACTCTAGCAGCAGCGGCAGCACTGGCGGTAGCTGTATCAGTGACACTTAGCAGTCGAAGCAGTAGTCAGAATCGACGTCGTCATCTTGTTAGCAGCAGTCTTGCGATAGAGCTGCGCGTCATATTGAATCTGTTGCAGGAGGGCCTGAATGAGTTTCTGGGGCATCCTGGTCAATTCGAAATGATTTCGTCGTCAGTTGGGTTTGGGACCTCTGCGCAACTGCACAAGCCCCTGGCCAGGCTGTTTCCGACCTTCGATTTCGTTTGGAACATCACCGGGATCGTGCTTGCAGCGACGTCAAAGACATGCTCCACGATTATGCCAGATGTTTACCACTCCATCTTGGCTTTCGCAAGCTGGAGCCTCAGGACATTTGTGGGCGACAGGAGCGGCTAGTACTGCCGTGGTAGTGATGTTTGCTACTAGTGCTGCTTCTGCTGCTGCATATTTGGGCCACAATCGTGTGTCCTCAACATCACCGTCGGAACAGTGCAAGTGCCTAGTAAGTGCTCCAGGGCCAGGCGGGTCAGGGTGCAGGTCGAGTCTTGGGGCGTCGAGCGGCTCAGGATCCCACCAGTTGTAGCGAGTTCAAACCGAGATAAACAGAGACCAGGCAATGTAGCTTCATGTTTGCATCCGCTCGCTATCAGCAGAATTATTATACTTATTGCACAGGCGTCTAGAAGTGCTAATCTGCTTGTTCATGTGCATCTCTGTTACTCCACGGGTGATGCAGAGCAATAGACCAGATGTCTATTGAATTGCAGGCTTTTTACAGTCATCCCGGAGCTCAATGATTTATGCAGTTTAGGCGAGAAACACCTAGCCAGTGGCATTAGGCCCACTAGGCTCCTGTAGTCCCGGATTACGTTAATTGCATTGCATTGTATACCCCGGACTTCCCTTCCTCCGAACGCTTCTGAGGCTGTGGATTATTTATTGCAGTTTGGTTTCTCATCAATGCCGTTGGCCTGCAGGCACGGGGGCGCGGTCTGGTATTGGTCTAGGAAATCCTAAGCCGGGTCGATGAGGAATTGATCGGACCTTGGGCCAGGTGTGGGAATGAGGTCTGTTTTCAGAAGCGTGCTCGAAAGTGCAGCTGCCAAACCCAGAAACCCACCCTTCGAACCCTCTAAACTCCAGGCCCTGAGCCCGAATCCCGGAAATCCACGTCGAAGCTTGCAGAAGGCAAAAGGCCTAAAGCCCCAAGATCTCGACCGGAATCAACTGCAGCACTTCCTCCTACCACCACCATTGCCACAACGACACCACCGCCACCACGAACAGCAACAACCACGACCACAACGACAAGGACAAGGACAACCACAACAGCAACAGCAACAATAGCAAAAACAACAGCAACAACAGCAGCAACAGCGACAGCCGCAGCCGCAGCCGCAGCCACAGCTGCAGCCTCCTCAGCCCAACCACAATGACAACCACGACAGCCGCAGCCGCGGCAACAAAAGCAACAGCAACCGCAACCGAACCCGCAACCAGAAGCAGAGCGACGAAGATAAAACCACCACCACCACTACCACCATCAATGGACCAGCAGCTTACTGAGCTGCTACTCATACTGCTGCTACTACCGCGACGACGACAGCGACGTCTGCCACCGATGCCACTACGACGACGACTACTCCTACTACTGCTGCTGCCACTGCTTCTTCTACTATCGCTGCACCAATAACAACTACTACTACTGCTGCTGCTATAGTACCAGTATTGGTATCGTTGCTATGATCAGCATACTACTTACTACTACTACTACTACTACTACTACTACTACTACTACTACTACTACTACTACTACGATACCACCATCACTGGAACCTGGCCAAAGTCTGAGTGCAATATTTCTACGACGGAATGAGCTCGCGCCGCAGGTGATCCTAGCATACATGATGAGGCACGGCATGCTGCCACCATCAGAGACTTGGCTTATCTCATGGTCGACGAGCAACAGATTTCTGAGTTTGCTGGACGATGCACACCTGAAACCATCAGTCTCAGTGTCTGGGCAGTGTGCTTTTGGTGTCCTGGGTGAAGTTCGTTCTTTGTAGTCCTGTTGTGGCCGAATCGTGGTCGGCCTGCCTCGGTTACCGACTGCAGCGACCATCCTGAGAGAAACAGGCTCCGAGCCCTGTATAGCAATATAGCTACATCCCTATCTGACCATGTTGCACATATTTGGGCTTCTGGGAATTCGGGTATGCAGCCAGGAGCGAATTCTAGCAACATTCCTGCTCTAGATCAGCAAGGTTTGAATCTTCGCCAGGCATGAGCGAACTTAACTGGTAAGCTTCGGGTGGATATCGATCCCAGTGATGTAATTTGACATATCTTGAGTTTTGTTGGAGCAGTCCATCGTGAGTCATCCAAACCCTAAATCCCAGATCCGTAATGAGGTCTAGTCCTCTGCAACACTAAGATGCACTAAGCCTGGGCTCTATATGGTCTATGCATGGATCCGTCATATGCTCTGACAGTCCCATACAAGTGAGTTCGCTGCTTTCTCATTGTAGTCGAGGCCGTCGTGGTCTTAGGATGTTCATGAATCCAGCACACTACAGCGCACTCTAAAAGCTGGGCCTAGGAGAATGCGGCGCCCAAAGGCACCATCGAAAAGCAAGAGGTGCGAAGGATTACTGGCATTCGCGTGCTTTCTTGAAGAGGTACGGGTTCCGGTGTGGCTTTTCCCGGACTGGAAACGATAGGGTTGAAGTAGCTCCGGTTTTTTCCCACCGCAGGTTAACCTAACCACATTCTAGCGGTAGACTGGGTTTGTAATCACAAGTTCCGTTTGCACAAAAGCCGAATGCATCCCGTAGTTAAGAGCGACGACCGGACTCCCAAGATTGTCGTGTGACTGTTTTGGCACCTTGCAGCCGCCGTAAGACCCGAAACTGCGATTGCCAGGTCTTCAAGTTCGACTCCAACCACGACTGGGGTGAGGGCCTCTGGCTTTGTTTCTTCTGCCGTGCATGGAGGGATCTTGTGGACCGTCGGTGATAAACATAGCGGTCAGAACAGCCAGCAAACCTGTCACTTGTCCTGTTCATATTATTGCTAAGCTTTCTGATGTCTAATACCCCAATGCAAAAAGAACTATCTCCCCAATCTCACAAAAGGTGTTCGGAGACTCTGGGGTGGATTTCGGTGTGCAGAGGTAGAGGAGTTGCCGATTTGGGGTCTTCGGTTTCGGGCTATGGTTGTCTCCGCTTCTTGGGCCAGGGACCTACGTTTGCTAGCAAGGGGCCTTGGCTTAGAGCCCCGAAACTAAACTTTTGAAACTTATCGGGTCCACAGACATGGGGAATCTTCTATCGCCGCCATGTTGGGATCCTGACTTTAGGGTGTACGGGCACAACCTCAACCCGACATAATGCACGGTAGACCTCTGAACCCAAACCTCTGAACGCCAGTAGCAAGAATCCGTTTCTTTAAAGCCAAAACCTGAGACCGCCGCTGTAGTCTTGACCCAAGATGAAGGTGACAACAACTGCTGCTCCATTTGTCTGGAGGCTGGCAACTGTAGCGCTGTCGAGGAGGTGTGGTTGAGGTGTAGTGCAGTCGAGGAGGTGCGGTTGAGGATAGGTTATGTTGATTCTTGCGGATTGCGGTAACAGTCCAGGCAGACATGTCTGCTGCAGGTTGAAGGAGGCCGGCCCCAGTGGGTTTGCGCTCGGCTCTGGAATTCTAGCGGTAGTCATCCACCACATGGTTCTCTCCAACAGAACAGACCCCGAGCCGCACTGCCCGAAACGACTTGCGACAGGCTTTTTTTTGAAGGGGAAACTTGCTGGCGTAGTCGCGCGATTTTCATCGTAGGCGATGTGCGGCGATGATGACAATGCAAATGATAATTCTTGGGCATGGCAGGAATGGAAAGAATGGCAATGGCGCTGGTGATTCGGATAGGTCATGGTGGTGATGCTGATGAAGATGAATGCGGAGGTAGGCTCATAGCGTGGTTGTCGGTGAATCTACAGCATGCTAACAATTACAAACGTTGTGGCTGCCGGGTCCACGTTTGGTCGTGGTCGTCGTTGTTGTTATTGTCGCCCTGGTCAGAGGAGTCTCCCCCCTTGCCGTCGCAGTCGTCGTCGTGGTTGGGCACCGGTCATGTTTCTAGCTGTGTTTGTTACAGATCCGTCTTGGATCGTATGAGCGCGTGATGCATGCCTCTATAAGTGCCGAGCCACACACAGTCCGTGCAAGGAGTGGAGCGGCAGGAAGGAGATCCGCAAGACAGCTTGCGGGCATTTCTATCACACGGACTGCTGCTCGCCTCAGTTATGAACCAATGTTAGTGAACTCATGTTCCCAAACTCACGACTGCAGGACGTATGTGTTTCGGAGACTTTGCAGCAACACGCAGAAGATTGCAGAAGTATGATCGTCATCTGCCTGAAAGCACACATTGATACGTGGACGATTCTGCTCGAGCCGCTACCCTTACGTCTTTCAAGCCCATCAATCAATGTTTTCGAAAAATTCCCCAGCTGACACCACTATAGCCCTTTCGTCGAGATTGTGCGGTCCCTATAGTGACTGCTAGTGTAGCCCGTTGCTTCTGAAACCTCGCCTGATGCAATCAAGAGCAAGAGCCAGAAAAGCACTCTTAACCCCAAGCCCCCGCACCAGACTTCCCAAGCTCCCTTCGAAAGATTTCGAAAGCCTAGGCCTCAAGGGATGGCTGAACGTGAACCGGAACTGCCCGCTTTGCCGCACGGATCTGGTGACTTGGGTATTGCATTGAATCAATGAAGCTAGTTCTCGGTGGCTGAGCTTTTCTCCTTCTCCCTTCTGATCTCATTTAGCCCTACCTTACGTACAAGATTAGCCTTTCGAGGGCTAGGACCCCACCAACCAGTTCACAGATGTGTCTTGCCGGGATTGCTGCTTTTGGAAGCACCCCTTTCATCACTCAACCAGCAAAGAACGGCACAATCCGTTTCGCCTGCAAAGACAAAAAGCAAGAATTGAGACGCAAACCTGTGGCTCCCCAAACATAGAAAATTCCCGATGTAAGCGCTCTTCATCCGTACTATAACCCTGTGACCACGCCGAGAATGCACACATGTACACACACACAGAGAAAGTTATATATATATATATATATATTATTTATCTATAGATATTTGATATATATATATATATATATATATATATACATATGGTGTAGTGTTGCCCACCTCCCCCCCAAGGTTATCCCCCGTTATACCCACACATGTTGATTCTCCCGGCCCCTCTGTGGCCTGTGGTGTGGTGGGGACCCGGCTCGCTTGTGTTCTCCGCCGCATTTGGGTTTTTTAACCCCCCTCGTCCCCCTGTGGTGTGGTGGTGGGTTTGGGGTTACTTGACTCCCTCTCCCCCCTTGTGGGGTGGTGTGGTGTGCTGTGGTGGTGGGTTGTGGGTTTCAGGTTTAGTATTTAACCCCCTTCCCCCTGCCTGTAATGTGGTGGTGGGTGTTGGGTTTAGGGATGTTTAGGGTTTAGGGTTTGCACTCGCACCCCCCCTGTGCGTGGTGGGGTTGTTTAGAGTTTAGGTCCAGGTGTATAGATATGGGGTTTAGGGTTGACGTCAGCAGCTGGGCGCGGCGCAGACCGAAACCATGGCCCATCCAGGTGAGTGTCGCCACTTTGCACACGCCGCGAAGTTGCATAGCTTCAACAGCCACAACACTCACGAAGATCGCGGGTTCGGGGGGGCGCGTCCCTGTGACTGTTGGCACCTCTGAGACAAGTGACGACCCTCACGAGGATTTCGGTTTTACCACGGGGGGACCAGGCCATGGGCGGGGGGCTACTAACACGCGACATGGTATCATAATTATAATATATATATATATATATATATACATACACGAGTGCCAAAAATTCTACATGTATAGATAAATAGAGAGATAGCGATAACGATATGACGGCTTGCTTGTTCGCGGCAGGATCGACTTGAGTCCCTGAGAGAGAGAGAGAGAGAGAGAGAGAGAGAGAGAGAGAGAGAGAGAGAGAGAGAGAGAGAGAGAGAGAGAGAGAGAGAGAGAGAGAGGGAGAGAGAAAGGTAGCGATGTTGGGAAAGCCAGCATATATACATAACTATGCTTACACCTATGCATGGTATGCACCTGCGTACCAGACGCATTTGCATGCATATCCGTGCATGCACACGGTAAGGCGGTAAGCATGTGTACAGGTATATGTATGTATGCATGTATGTCATGTATGCCCGCACATGCGTATCTATTGTGTACGTATGTGTGGTTGTTGTTTTTTCGCTGCGTGTTTAATACAGCGCGAGAAATCATTTCACCTCTCGTGTTGTACTCGTATTGTTTTGTTCTGTTGTGTTGTGTTGTGGGGTGTTGTGTTGTTCTCAGTAGTCTATGCATTGTTTGTAGTCTGTTGTGCGGGGTTGTACAGTAATTGCTGCAGCTGTATAACTTAAAGTGCAACATCGTGCCCTTTCGTACTGTACCGTATCATAGTGCATCGTGATGTGTGCATGCATGCATGGAAGGTGACTACGTTTGTTTGTATATGTATGTATGTATGTTTGTATGTTTGCATGGTATAAATACGTAGGCGAGTTTGTATGCACGAATGCATGTATATGTATGTATGTACCGGTGCATGTATGCATCTTTGTATCTTTGTATGTATGTAGGAATGTATGTAAGTATGTGTGTACATATGTATGTATGCCTGCATATATGTATGTATGTATTTGGGTAATTTGTGTATGTGTGCATGTAAGTATGTATGTATGCATGTACCGATGCGTGTGTGCATCGGTGTCTCTATGTATGTGTGTATGTATGTAGGAATGTATGTAAGTACGTGCGTACGTATGCATGTATGTATGTACGTACGCACGTACGTGTGTATGTATGTATGTATGTATGTAAGACAAGTGCTAATGTGCACCGGGCTAGTGCGCCTGCTACCTCCCGAAAGTCGGTTCACCCCATATACCTCGCCTGCTTTGCCGAGTGCGAGTGCTAAAATGTATGTATGTATGTATGTATGTATGTATACATGCTGTTGCATAAGTTTATTGTCATGCAGACAAACATGTATGTGTACGCACGTGCATGCAGGCAGGTCGCAGTATCCTCGAATATTATGGAAGTTTCGCAAAACGAGGGACCCTAACATAGAATCCCAACTAGTAGGATCCTTAACATATAAGGACCCCTAAGTGATAAGAAACCCTCGATAGCCCTGGCCCCTGAGGTGACTGGGCAGGCTGCGGCTGGCCAGGCCATCGGTGCGGCCGAGGAGCCCTAATGCGGGGCCCCGACGAGTAGACCTTTCGGTTTAGGACCTTTAAGGGGGTTTCAGTAGGTTTGGGCCTGTCGGCTCTCCAAGGAACCCGAGGGCCTGCATTGGTGCAAGCCTTCAAGGTGGCTAGAAAGTTGTCGCGATTTGGGGCCATAAGTCAAGGCTTGTCTGGCTCTTCATTTCAAGCAGTGCTTGCTTACTAGGGAACCTAGACCTAGAATTCTCAAGAGCATATTATCGTGGGCAGTGCCACCAGAGGAGGTTTGAGCAGTATCGTCCCTAAACCTTAAGCTTTTAGGAAGGCCTTCCGGGCTGGTCGTGGGGGCTTACGTAGTTGAATTGCGGAGGGGCGCGTCAGGTGTAGAGTACATATTTGGGTCAGGTTGTAGGGTTTCCGGTTAAGGTTTCAAGAGGGTTGACGATTGCGGCTGCCTCTTGAACAGCTGCTCTTTCAGGGAGACACCTGAGTTTGTTTGGCGGATTCAACCTGGAAAGACGTGGACCCCAAATTACAGCCCCTTCAGCTCTGCCCCAAACCCCGGCAAAAAGGGGCTCTTCAGAACGGCATGCGCCGAATGGCTGATGCCTGTGTGACTTCCAGTTGCCCTGCGAACTGCGCAGACGGTGTCAAGCAGGACCTATACTTGACCAAGCCAAGAAAGACGACCGGCTAAACCCCGTGCCCAAGAGCCTAAACCGTGAGCTCAAATTGTTCCTGGATGGTGTTAATTTTGTCGTTTGCTTTCCAGGGATGGCCTGTAACAAAAAACGAACCATGTGAGACACTAAGCCTGCCTATGTCAACATGCGGACTTCGTGAGAACTTGGCACCCGATTGTGCGATTTGCGCCATGTGGTCATGGAACGCATGAGTTGCATTGCGCGACGTGGGGGTTGTTCCAAATTGAGTTTCCAATTCAACTAGCTATAAGTATCTGCAACTATAGAACTTGTACCAGGAGCTCCTACAAGCAATCCCAACTGTGAACACCCCCCATGTATGGTTGATGACGCAAGCTCTACAGTCTTGCATTTCCGAGCTGCGTGGTATGATTCATGGATTCTCAGTAGGGCGTGCGGCAAAATGCCTGGCCCCAGTAATTGGGGTGTCAGATCAACGCAAAACTGTGAAGCCGCGCGTCATCGGCAATACTTCCTGAAACTAGAAACGGTAGAGAGGCGTTTGCTTGATGTTTTCCGTCGATATGAGGTCGGCGTGCGTCGCAATTAGTGAATTACCGACCGTGTTGACCTGGTGCTAGGTTAAGTGGTCGCAAGATTCATCGTACTTTCAAGCCGATACACCTGAATACCGCCCTCTTCAAGAGCTCATGTGCCGGTGCCACAGTGCAGGGCGCGAGCTTTAGCCCCACTGCCGACCAGAGCAGGTTTCTGCAGCTGAGTGTTGACAGGGTCCAGTCGAGGCTGCTTGACAAAAGCCACCAAGCGAAAGAAGCCTGCGCTGTAATTACGTGCCAGCTCGGTTTTTGCAACGGGCATCGGAGCACCAAACCCGGGCAGAGCAAGCAGGCTCAACACGCCTAAAGCCCTTAAAGCCCTTTTTCAGGTTCACGGTATATCGCTGATGATACTGTGGGATGTAGAACGGAGAGCAAAGGAACCGCAGCCGCATGCGTAGGCATAGGCGTATGCCGGGCGCATGCGTAGAAGCAGGAGGAGTAGCAGCACTAGTCGTCTTCGTAGTAGCAGCAGCAGTAGTAGCAGTCGTATTTGAACCAGTAGTCGCGACAGCAGCAGTCGTTGTAGTCGTTGTTTGTGATGGTAGTAGTCGTAGTCGTCGCAGTAGTTAGTAGTTGTAGCAATAGTTCTAGCAGTAGTAGCAGTAGTAGTAGTAGTAGTAGTAGTAGTAGTAGTAGTCGTAGTAGTAGTAGTAGTAGTAGTAGTAGCTGCAGCAGCAGCAGCAGATTATTGCTTTCATTACTATTATTAGTAGTTGTCGTAGTGGCAGTACTCGTCGTCGTAGTAGTAGCAGTAGTAGTAGTAGGGGTGGTAGTATTAGTAGCAGTAGTAGTAGTCGTCGTCGTAGTCGTAGTCGTAGTAGTAGAAGAAGTAGTAGTAGTAGTAGTAGTAGTAGTAGTAGTAGTAGTCGTAGTAGTAGTCCTAGTAGTCGTAGTAGTCGTAGCAGCAGCAGCAGCAGCAGCAGCAGCAGCAGCAGCAGCAGCAGCAGCAGCAGCAGCAGCAGTAGTAGTAGTAGTAGTAGTAGTAGTAGTAGTAGTAGTAGTAGTAGTAATAGTAGCAGTAGTAATAGTAGCAGTAGTAATAGTAGCAGTAGTAGTAGTAGTAGTAGTAGTAGTAGTAGTAGTAGTAGTAGTAGTAGTAGTAGTAGTAGTAATAGTAGGAGTTGTAGCAGCAGCAGTAGGAGTAGTAGTAGTAGTAGTAGTAGTAGTAGTAGTAGTAGTAGTAGTAATAGTAGTCGCAGTTGTAGTCGTACTTGTAGTCGAAGTAGTAGTACTAGTAGTAATCTTCGTCGTAGTTGTAGTCGTAGTAGTCGTAGTAGCAGTAGAAGTGCTCGTTGGCGTGGTCGTGGTGGTGGTGGTGCTGGTAGTGTTAGTGGTAGCAGTGGTGGTGGTGGTGGTGGCGGTGGTGGTGGTGGTGGTAGTCGTTGTGGTAGTAGTTAGTAGTGGCAGTAGCAGGGGCAGGAAGCAGGAGAAGCTGCAGCAGCAAGCAAGACCGGGAAGATGCATGCATGTGGCAGTAGCAGGGGCAGGAAGCAGGAGAAGCTGCAGCAGCAAGCAAGACCGGGAAGATGCATGCATGATCGCATGGACTCATACTCGTAAGAGTTCAGTCGGGGCTGTGGATGTGTAGGTCTTTCGGTACATTCCAGACTTGGTTGTGGGCCTGTTGCTCATTCGCCGCATCGGCGATGTCGACAGCAGCCAGCGCTGCTCGGTTCCTGTAGTTGTTGACAAGGTGCAATAAGGTCCCTTTGTGCAGAAGGAAGGCACGCAACCGATGCTGATCCACCAGGCACACGTGTGCTCCAAGGTGTGTAAAGTCAGCGAACCGGTTTGTGCTCGTGAGAGCTCTGTCATGCCAGTCTTGTTTGAAGCCTCAACTCTTTGCATGTCACGGTATCATCAGAACAAAACATACCCCGCCCATCCGATCACTTTGAACGATATGGACCGAAGCCGCATGACGACCAAGTCTGCCAAAGTGGCTCCTGACGTGTTTGGTTCTGCATCTCTTTCTGTAAACCTTATAACCATACCAGAAAGTTTCTAAACCTTGCGTCACCTCACATGATGTTACTCGTCCTGAAGTCCAGACTTTGCGTTCTGCATTTTTCGACTTGGAATCAGCGCGCCCTGAACAGCTGGCATTGTGCAGTTGCCTCTGCCCACGGAAGGCTTTGCTTGGTATCGGCAGGCAGCTAAGCCTTGAGCTTTGTTGTACAGGCTGTGGCAAGAGGTGGATCTTGAGGAGAGTCAGATGCATTCCTATTCCCCAGATCTCGTGTCATTCGGACCAATAAACGCGTCTGCGAGCCGAAGCTTCTCCCCGAGACATCTTAGAGCACGTCCATGGCACAATCTCCGAAGTGGGCTTTGTGCACTCCGTCAGAGGTTGCCCTGCGTGTTCGTGCAGCTTGAACCCTGAAGCCAAAACCGTCCGAAGCACATTGTAACATAGGGGCCTTAAAAATGAGGATTAGGGCTGGTTTTTAGTACACTGAGTATATAGTTATACACAATAGTTGCGTAAGTAGTTAAATCTATGTGTGTGTATGTATATATATATATATATATATATATATGTTTATTTATTTACGTACATATACGCTGTTTTGTTCATCATCATTCGTCTACTTATTCGTAAGCTTGTTGATAGAGTTGTTGTTATAGCCCTTAACTGGGCCTGAAAACATTCCTCACAGTACTCAAACTTCGTACGGTTCGGGATAGGGGTATTCAGAATAAGGGATTTGGGGCTTGTTCTCCAGTCTCTTCTCAAAGGCTTTTCGAAGTTTGGCAGAGTAAGCCAACAGAAGCGTCCCAGAGCCGATTGCAGTAGCAACCAGGCGCCTCACAATTGGAAACATGTCGTAGACTCCGTGAAGATGCGCATCGCGATTTTTGCTATGTTTCCACGCGCCGAATAATAGGGAATGTGGTGTCGTTAACGGTTTATTCAGGTTTTGGTTCGGGGCACTTTTCTCTAGAGGCTTCCGTAATCCTAAACCTCAACCTCCCAGTGAACGACCTGTGGGACAACCCGTGCGGTCAGCAGCCTGTCAAATTGTCTAACTTGTTGGTGCGGGGCCACCGTGAGAAATGTCGAGAACAGAAAGACTTGCGGCGGCGAAGGGAACTGAGGTTTCGAGCATGACCTATAGAGCTGTAAGGGCTCAGAGGTAGTTCACATCTGAGACATACAGGGCATAGACGTTGCTTAAAGCTATATAAGGGGTTTAGGGTTGAAGTAGTGTGTAAAAGCTACTTCTACTACAAGCTGTTGAACGTGTACTCAGCCATGCAGGAGGCAAAACAAAAACTACGAGCTGCTGATACATTCCGCTTACGTTGGGCTACAGGTTGGGTTTGCGGGGATTCGCGCCGACTGCCTGAGATCTCGACAGCCCGGTGGCTGCGCCCAGTGGGTTGACACAGCTCGGGAGCACAGCCATACGATTTAGAATCTAGCGGCTAGCGTGAATGAGGTTTTACGGGTCAATGTCTAGTCTGAGGGCAGGGTTGGTTTGTATAAGACTCTTTATAACTGATCGGCTACCTAGATGGACTTGTTCCGACATGCCGTTCATGGGTATGGTTGCTTGTTTCTGCCATCGGGCCCCGGCGATCAGTCTCCGTGTGGCGGGGGTCGGGTTTGAGCGTTGTGGGCAAGGGTCTACTCAAGAATTTAAAGGTTCGCTGACTGTCTGTTTGATGCGGTTCAGTCAACTGTCATACAGGAGTCCTTCGAGGGGCGCATGAAGATCGTTTCTTGGACGCGTAGCTTGAGAATCCATACAGGTTCATAGATTTAAGCCAACCCTTGCGCAGTGAGACAGGAACTTTCGGACAGAGTGAGGAACTGCGTCATTGCATACTTGAGCATCATGATTGTCAGACAAGAACAGCAGTGTCATTGAAAAGCAAGCATCGCGCGTGATAGTATTGGTAATCTTCATCATCATTAACTGCACCAGCAATTCGATAGATCCCAACCCCGAAGCCGCGAACAAAGGTTAATCCCAGACCGTAAACCCAAAGCCCCTGTTTTGAGCTCTTTAACTTGCAGCTATCAGGCTGAGGTTGAATATTGACCTCCTTAGAGGCAGCTCATTCCCGGGTTTTACGTCCAGAAAAGGATCTGGGCTCTGGGGCAGCAGAGCAGAAGGGCAGCTCTGAGATGTTCAGCCTGCTAGCGAAGTTTGCGCGCAGCAACACTTCTGCGATCTTCTGAGAAGTTTCCAAGGCCCCTTCTAGTCTCACCCGCGTGAGTTTCGCGGCTGGGTCCCCTAGGCTCCAAGTATTCACATGCTACCCAACTAAATCCCGATATCATTCACCCCAGCCTGTGGATGGCGCATACGTTGGGCTGATTTGAGCCCCAGGGAATCTGACACCATCGCCAGCCACAGGGCGAGCCCCAGCAGTTGAAAAGAAATGCAGCTTCTGCGGGATCGTGTCGTATGGCTTTAGACTTTAGGCCTTAACGCTTAGCATGCCTAAAGGATCATTGACGTACTTGTTCATTACGGGCGACCGGCTTCGTTTGTGATGTTGCGCTTAGTTCTTGTTGTTTTGGGGTTGGGCTTAGGTCTAACGCACTCTCGGATGTAGAACATGGGCCGGCCAGCAGCTGTAGGCTATGAAAACTGAATACAACGTTACTGTGTTTTGGCTTTTGAGTTTGCGGAAGTTTTGAGGTATAGTAGAGGCTTCAGGGTTCTGCTTTTTTGTGTTGCTGCTGAAGTATTATGGTGTAGGTTCGGCGAGGCCTCCACCAGACCCTTGCAGAAGCCTCTTGAAAGCAAGGCTCCAGATCCAGTCAGCCGAAGCCCTCGCAGATCGGGGTCGTAGTAGCCCGTTGAACACTACTGGAAAGCAGGTTGTCGAGAAAGACTCTTCAACGTGAAGTTCTCTCTTCGCACTGTATCATCGAAACCTGAAGCACTAAGTCCCCTAGATCACCCTAGACCCAAAAGCCTTAACACTCATGTGATCCGTTGAAATGTAAGTTGTCCTTCAAGCTCATACGTAATCCGTTACTTTATGCATAACCTCTTTCCCCTCAGCTCCTACATAATCCAAGAGGCCCTCCGATTCTTCCTGCGCCGCTGCCCGGCTCTCCGATGTGCGGAAGTGACCGAACCGGGGCTGGCCCATGGGACTCGCAGTATTGGTTCCACAGGGTGCTCCTAATGGGTTGTATGTGCATATTATCATTATACTAAAAGGATTTCAGGGTGTGTGATGGGCATTTTACATAAGGCTTGGGGACAGGCTTCATTGGTTTAGGGCTTGGCTGGTTGAGAGCCTGAGGGCAGTCGCAGCTTTGACTCATCGGGTGCTAGACTTGTGGAGCAGGGTTTGCCGGTTCCTAGCGCTTTGACGAGTGGTGCCCAGTGGTGCAGGGTTGAGGGGTCAATGGTCGTGACCCTATAATACAGCATTACAGCATGTTATTGCAGTAGCTATTAACATCTTTCCTTAGGGTTCCTTATGATGCTTACAAGGGCTTGGGCTTTGATCCGTTCCTTGACTGTAGACACCCTGTCAGCAAGCGCGGTGGTGTCCCACGGGATGCTGTTGCGGTGGTGTTTCCCAACAACTAAGACACAGTGCCGATGCAAGCGAGTTTTGGATCCGCCTGAGCATTATTTTGTTCAATCCTGCTGTTCCTCTCGTCTCTGGGACCACCCGGCAGGGCCTTTTGGCGGCTGAACCTCTCGTAAGCCGGATCCCAGGCCCTCAACACGCAAAAAACCCTAAACCCTCTGCCCGGACTTGGATCCCAGGTGAGCGGCGCCTGCTCAGGTTTGGCATCTTGTTCAAAGCTCCGTGCACTGAAGCTGCCTGGCCGCAGAGGACATCAGCACGTATTTTCGGGGCTATAGGGGTCTGGAAAGATTGGTTGTATTGAACCTAAACTGCTTGTATCTATGTACTGTCTAGTTGTCTAACGCATGTTTGTTTATCTCAACCTGTATTGTTATTGCGTAGCCAAGAGAAAGCCGAGAAAGTTGAGGCATTGACTGAAAAGCATTCCAAGAAAAGCATCCTGCGACCTAGCTTTCGATCTGCCTCAACCCAGCAGTGCGGCCCCTGGCAGGTTGAGCCTGTCCCTGGTACCGAACATCGTGAACTTGGGACAGGCGGGCATTCTGCAGAGTCAGGACCGTGAAGGGCCTATGTTTCAGAGAGATTTGGTTTAGGCTTGTGTGTTTTCTATTGCGGTGCGTTGATCATAGTTCTGTCTGGCATGGTGTGTGTATTGCATGTTGTGGAGTTGCTAACTGCTAACTCCGAATTCAGTTTTTCGGACTCAGGTGTTTTGGGGTTCAGGGGCTTCAAGGTTTAGGTGGGGATTCCTGGCATGACCATGCCGCTGAGTTTTGGGGCCCTCGGTCCAAGACGGACAATCCAATGCTGGGGTTTAGGGTTTAGCAGTTTAGCCATCCCACGTATTACAAAACAGATGTGCGACATCGCATGTTCGTGGTCTCAGTTTCCGGGTGAATGGCTAGGTAAGTACTATCGATTTGCAGGCCTTGACTGAGCGAGTCATGTTCACGAGTCATGTTCTTTTCCCGCTGTGCTGGCGCCTGGGCAGAGTCCTCGGTTCTGTGCTCAGTGGGGTGCTGGCATTCATCAAGTCCGGATGTAAAGCAGTTCAGCAGGGTGTACAATGAATTTAGGCACCAACACAGCCACCCCATCCGCCGACCATGAAAAGTCTCACATGCGGAAGAGAACCTCCCAAACCCGAATCCCTGAACCCCAAGCCTTCGAGACTTTCGATGAAGTTTAGCTTTAAATCTTCTAAGACTCTAGATCGTGAATCCTAGTGTTTTTTCAGTAACACCGAGTCCTAAAAATAGAACCCTTGAATCCTAAGAGTCTGAACCTCAAGAACCCTTCAACTGCCTTCAATCCACCGAAACACCGAAATACAAGCCAACTGGGCATGCCGGTCCGTCCAGGTGTTCAAATCCTGCAAGCAACTCAGGGCAGGTCCCCTCAGTTGTGGGGTTTGAGGGTTTATGTGTGGATGCTTTTTCTTACAGACGCATCCGGGAAATTATGGCAGATTCTTTTGCTGAGAGCATTCTGCATGCGTGCCGTGTCCACTCCGGCGTGTGTTAAAGTCAAAACCGTCAGATTTTTCTGAGGGATTGGAGAGCTTGAGCGAATGGGTTTCTGAATTTCCCTTTCCAAGAAGGCCTTGTACGCCAACCATAGGATCATTATGTTCAGGTGCCGGCTTCTGCTGTGGATGTGGAGTCTTGCAGTGAATTGAATAAAATTCAAAATAATGTCTGTTAGCTGGTTTCCTTCATGTTGCTTTTCCCGCAAGAGAGCATGTTTGGTGTATCTGGTTGTTACAATTGGTGATAGTCTTGGTTTATCGGTAAGAACACTTCCCTTAGCTGTACCGCTGTCCGGATCGAAGCTAAGTTTGTAAAGCTTCCGTTCTGGAGGCGTTGGGTTTCTGGCGAGTAGAGGCCATCTAGCCGAGACAGTTGACCTTGCACGGCTGTCTTGGTGCATTCCCTGATCGTACCCAACACATGTTCGGAATGCTGCAGCTCGCCTTGGACGAGTTCACCTCTTGGTTTCGAAGCCGAGCCTAAGCACCCTCAGCTTAGGCAGAGTTGACGATTGGGGCTTAGGCGCTTGGGGTGGTTCAAGACTCAGCCTTGGACATATAAAGCACCCGGGTCCAGTAACCATGTTGCTTTAGAACAATCTCTATATGATAAAAGAACCTTGTAATCCGACAGTGCCCTACATCCACAGAACACGCAAAACCAACAACTAGCGGAGGGGAAGACCGAACCGAAAGAAAACACAAACCTCGCTAGCGCCAGCAGAGCCCCAAGCCCTCAGGCTACATTGTGTTTTTGTCACCGTCATACAGCAGGAGCTACATTGAAGAGCCTCGGCAACCCCCCGAGCGAGGTCTTAGTGCTAACGAGCACATCGGAGTACCAAGTTTCACTGCAATACCTGACGGAGGCATTCGCAGGGGATTCCAGCTTCAGGATTATGGGATAGTTGTGAGCTGCTCGGGGTTGAGGGTTTTCCTTTCTGGAGGTTCAGGATCTTAGACTTCAGGCTTGTAGGAAAAGAGGCTTCAGGATGAAATTGTTGAGGATTGTGCAAGCTCACACCGACAGGGTTGCGTTCGCGATTCGTCATGCTACAGTGGAGATGGTTCTAGCAGCGAACATTTAACGACGGCAGCTTCAAGAGTAATGCAGGTTCACCAGCAGCCAGGGCAGCAGCAGGGGCATCAGTCTTTGCCGTGTTGTTTCTTTGTTGTCGATGTTGACAACATGTGCTAGCAGTGGCAGTCGTCGCTGCGATTGCCGTCGCACGCGTAGTAGTAGCGGCAGGATCAGGCGCAGGAAGAGGAGGAGGAGCGTCGGCTTCAGAAACCAAAACAACACGAGGAGCTTTCCCGTTCCTGCGGGCTACGGGAGCTCTGTTTCCGCCGCTGCTCTGCCACATGGAAAGACTTGGAGGCCTCGGTGTCATCAGAGTTCTTGTCGATAGAAACACAAGAGCGATGACGACCACAATAGTTGATACGAGCTACAATGAGAAGGATGCTGGTAAGGATGGTTTAGCATGGTGAAGATGCTCATGCTGGTGACCGGTGTCGGTTAGTTCTAGAATCCGAGAGCTACATGGACGGCCACGCAAGGGGCTTGATTCTGTTGTGATGCAGCAGATGTTCTGCGACTGAAGTTGGCCCTTTCTCCGTATGTCCTGGCGGGGCAAAAGTTAACAAGGGTGGAGCTGTTAAGAATGACACAGGATAGGAAGCCAGACACCAGAAAAAGCTAGCCCCTGACGGAGAAGCAAGCTCAGAAGCGAAGCAGAAGCAAACGTAACCAGAAAAGTAACCAAGAATTGGCAGCCCTCGACTGTGCAAAACACAGTGTATCATTGTACAGTGTATCATTGTCAGAATACAGTGCAGCATTGGAAGCTGGATCTGGGACTTCCAAGACAAGGTCTGTTTGTGCTTTGACTTGACCGTTCATATATTTTGTAGCTGCACTTACGCACTTGTCCTTTTTGACTTTGCTTCCAAGCTCTGGCTGGCTTTATTCCGACTTTGTTCCCTAAGCGCCAGGTGGCTTTTCGTGCAGAAGAAACCCTACATAAAGTCCCTTAAACCCTAAACCATAAACCTTACACAAATTAACTCCACTTAGATCCTACAGAGAAGGTAAAGGATCCCAGGCCTAAAGTCAAATCCATTCGCCCAGGTGCTGTGCAAGGCATGCCCCCGGCTTCAAGAATTGCGTTTGCCCGGGGCCAATGCTTCTTGAGAGGCGATAGGCTTGGCACGGATTTTTACGGTTTCGCACCCCAGAACGCCACGACTCTCCAATTTCCGATGACTGATCAAGAGGTCTTGCATTACAAGCACACTACCTAGGCCCGAAGGATACATCGATGCCGGGGGACCGCTAAGCCCTCCGCCGCTGGTGCCCTTGGGCCGTTTGAAGCAGCCCCTGGGTGGAAAGCTTGTTGGGTGCGTTGAGAATCTTCAGATTCAGATATCTTAAGTGTTTTATGGACTCAGCCCGAAAGCATGAACCCTAAATTCGTTCTGGGCAGATGGCGCGCAGGGTGCCAGAAGGGGGTCACACAGTTGCACGGCGCACGGCAGACTGGGGTCCTGTAGATTCTGTGAGGAGTTTCGGAGGCTCGTGGGCAGATTTTGCGCGCAGGATACCAATATCTGAGGAGCTTGTCACTTGGACTTCTGGAACATGATTCGGGTTTATCGGCAAATTGGGGATGAACTTGGCTCTGTTGCCGGCGACTACTTACCGGATTCCCCTTCTGTGTCCCGTATCTGCACTTCATGTTCTTCAAATAAGAGGGCACCTGCGATGTTGTGATGGTACGACAAAGACCGAACCGAGCGAGTGAGGTTGCGAGCTGTGGACCTGCGCGGCCATAGCCGGGCTCAGAAAGCCAAGTGCTGGCTGACCGATGATATGCCCCACGCTTAGACAAAGCAGGTCGATATGTGTTGGTTGTCTTGCACTCGGTCGCGCATCGTCGTGCCAGCTTGCACATCCGCCTTTGCAATGTTCCTCCTTGGTTACCCCGAACCAACGTAGCCCAGATCCATGTTTGTAGCTGTATGTTTCAGCATCATATGTATACATGTCTGTATATGAGTGCATTATGTATGTACTAGTAGGTACTTGTTTGTATGCATGCATGCGTGCATGTGTGTATGAATGTTGTATGAACGTATGTATGTTTGTCGTATGTGTGTATATATAAATACATGTTGATGTAGACGTAGCTTTGTGTATGCAGGTATGTGAGATAAACCGTTAGATTGACAGATAGAGATATACATGTTGCATGGCTAGATAAGCATTCAGGTGTAGATATAGTTACAGAAATAGAAATAGGAATCATAGATATCGATCGAGATATAGATGCATCGGTATAGATATACTTCTAGAGTTAGATAAACAGGTAAGTAGACAGATACATGCGTAGAGAGACAGACAGACAGACAGAGAGGCAGATAGCCCCATGTAGGAGAGCAAAACCTCACTATTTGCGAGGTTTGGGATCCTCGCACAGGTGCGTCATCTTCGTGCCTTGGACAGTGAGGGAGCCATGCCAGACTACACCAAGTTTTGTTGTTCGCTTCCTGGCAGCTCAACTCATGCAAGCTATGACCCAATCTTCTGAATCCTAGTTCCGTAACCTGCACCCTTAGCCGCAGATTGTTGGGCTTGTTGGGACTCTGATGTTCTCGGCCTCGAAGCATCGACAACGATTTGGGTCTTTCGTCGTTTATGGGTTTGTGTTTAAAGGTTTCAGGGTTGGGGTCGCCCTGTGCTGTATGACAGATCCGCAAGACATGCTATGATTTTCGAGTCCAGATCCTAAATCAAACCAGCCAGGACAAGAAACACCACAGAATACCATATGGAGTCCAATCTGATGTAGACGGGCAACACATCACTGCAATGCTTTTCCGGGAAGAGGTTGGAAAGGCTACTATTCCTTAGGGTTCCTCATTACAATATAACCCCGAACCCTTTTAATTCTCTAGACCCCTGTATTACACCTTAAACCGCCTGACCGGCTTTGTTAGCCTGCAGCCGGTGCGAGGCGAAGTCCGCGCAGACCACCAGCGTCTGCTCTCTGATCGTTGCTGCTGGTTCTTACGCCAGGCCCTCAGTAATGTGCATGCAGGTCCGAATACCTAGTAACAGCATACACATATACTTATCGTCCTTATGAGTAGAGTATCCTTTGCCCAAAACCTAGTGTAGCTATTGAGGCCACAATTTACTAGTGGGACGGTCATTTGATGTCGTCGCCGGGCCCTGGAGTGCTCACTTGTTGCCAACTCTTTGTGCACTTAGGATTAACATGAAGCGGAGTCAACTACTTGTGACAGATTACGTCCAGGGCCCCTGGATCAGGGTATAGAATTCCCGCCACCTCCCACGCCCGAGCTTCGCAGTAGTAGGATGTTGGTCTACACCAGTATTGTTCGTCGCGGGACTACACGAGGCTTCGGGATGCTTCGGGGACTTTTACGCTAGATGTGACGACTCATGCCGCTAAACTGTACGTCCTACTACCCGGTCGCAACAAGCCGAGGACGGCATTGCTTTCGACTGCGTCTTCTGCACCTTTCCGGATGCCGTGCGATGTGTGGCATGGCATGCATGCAGCGTCCTAGCTTCGGGCCCTAATCCACGGCTGAAACCGTGGAGTCCCCAAATGTCGTCGCTGAGGCCAGGGGCGAGGGTAGATTTCCTCATCGGACGATGCCAGTGAAGTTCCCTCATAAAGACAGGCCATCTCGCCAGTCGTACACATGTTGGCACCTGAGTAAAGGGCGGTACCCCAAAGGTGGGGAGAGTGTCTTCGGCCTGCTCCACATGTGCGATGGCCGGGTGCTCAGATGTCGCCAGAGCTTAGTCAGGGTTGTGGGTCAGACCGCAACAGCCGTTGCTTGAAGAGAGCTTCTTGCAGCAGGTTGCACTGTATCAGCTACTCCTCATGCCGCCGATGTAGTACGGCGCAGTGGGGTCCTGCTACGGGTCAAAACTGTTGTTCATTCACAGGAGTCCTAGGCCCTAAACTCTGAACCCGTCGTGTGTCAGTAGGTTCGAGGATTCTCCGCAGCTCTCGGTGGCCCAAAACGTCACAGGTTGTTTGAAGCTGTAGCCCAGGGCTCATGACGGTGGATGTGCAGCACGATGTGCAGAACGTTGCGCAAGCTCCTGCAAAAGGCTACATGTGCGATTTGAAGGCTTTTCTGAGGCCTGGTATCGGCAGGAGTCTGTTAGATTTTGAAAGGCTGATCCAGAAAATCGATCGAAGCAAAGCCCCCACAAAAAGGGCACAAGCCAGCGAGAGTCCTCTTCGTAGCTTTGGGTTTGGTGGCCCGCAAGCTAAAAATCTTAGAATTCCCGACTGAACCGTCAACATGTCCTATTATAATACAATTACGAATAGTACTAGCAGTAGTACTAACATCAATATCACGATCAGAATTAGTACTAGTATCAATTTTTAGTAATGGTGTTTGTATTGAGATTTTACCTTTGTCGGCAAGCCGGTCCGCAGGCTGACGTGGCCACTGCTTCTCGGCAACACACTCGAATGGTACGAGTTCGGTGTGTGCCTCGGTTTTTTAACAACATGTTTTCTTGTTTTTGAAAAACTATGCTCCAAATTGGCTAACATGTTCAGGTTCTATCAGCACGTTAAAGTAGGGTTTACGTGTGCGACATGTCCATACCGGTATTCGGGTTATAGAATGCATTTTAAGGGTGTAAGGTGGGCTGATAACATGCCCTTTTCTGTATTACATCTGGTTGCTTCAGGTTTTATAAAGGCTTGTCTTGGGAGTTTCTCCTGTTGTTGTTCAAGGGTTTAGCCGGGTGATTTGGGGGCTACATATGTATGTATGAATGGTGGATGTATGTATATATGTATGTTCTCGTATGTATGTATACTGTACGCATATATATATATATATATGTATGTATATACAGTTTACGCACCCACCCATTGATCCAGATCAGCTAATGTTTAAAGCTTGAAGGAGTGGATCATGGGACACTTGCTGTTTGCGATAACATCGGTGGGGGTCGAGGAAATCCTGAAGCCCAAAATGGAACTTCGACAGGGATCCAACATTCGTAAGTTGAGGTTCTCAACATCTAAGTCTCTGTCGCGCTGCAATCCCCAAAATTGCCAGGGCTTCGAGTATTTGGGGAAGCGTTGATCCCTGCCGAGGTTTCTTCACATGACATGTCAGACTGGAGAATCGTGTTTGTTATGCATTCTGGAAACTTCAGATGATGCGAGCACATCAGCAGGGATAAGGCATCTACAACACTCCTGAAGCTTGACATGCGAAAGCTTCCCGCTAACTCTCGCTGTGCTGAGGTGCCTCTGAATCCTGTCAGTACATGGGGAATTTTCCATCCTGCCGGTTCCTGGGGAAAATGGTATTTTGGTCGTGTTTTCCGGTGTCCTGGTGGTCTGCCGGTGGTTTCTTGGTGGTCTTTGCCTGACCTCGTGCTGGTATCCTGGTAGTCTTTTGATGGTCTTTTGGTGTCTCCTGCTGTTCTCATGGTGGTTGTCGTCCAACCAAGCGGTCGTAGTCATCGTCGTGATCGTTGTTGTCGTCATTTCTCGTCAGGGAGGTGGTGTATCGCTGCTTGCGAAGATCCACGCTGGCATGATAATACTTAGCAAACCCCACGGCCTGAGCGAGCGTCATGACCTCAAAGATAAAAGCCCCAATGCAACCGGTACCCTCATAGCGCCCTAGCTATTCTCCCTTTTGCATTCAAAGAACCCTAAGAACGCCTGTTATTCTCCCTCCCATTGGCCCTCACAGAACCCCTTGTGTAGAGCCATGAAACAAGCAGGTATGGATATGTCGAGAAGGAAATCTCCGAGAACTTCTTCGGGGGCTCGGAGGATGGAGGATGGACCCTTGTCTCTGGCAGCCCCAGTCACGGGGATTGCAGGGTTCTAGGGTTTACTTTTGGAAGGCCTAAGACGATTTGGCTTTGTGTTTGCTGGCGTTCGAGTGCGTTGGCGCTTTGCAGATGTAGGGCTTAGGACTAGAGCCTGAAACCATGTAGATCCGAACCCCAGTATTAAGAATGGTATTCCCTGACAGCCCTTATATAACCATGAAGACCCCCGAACTTCATTCGAGTTAATCGGGCACCTCTATTCATGCCTACGGTCAGCCCGGAGCACTCACAAATCCCTTACTAAATCCTGCCTGTCACATGCTGGTTACATTCACTTCAACGGCCCTCTGAGCTCTTCCGCTGTTGTCTTGATCAAAACCGGAGCAAAACCTATCATGCTGGTCTCAGATCTCGCTGTGCAAGGTGTCATGAACAAAACAGGCTCCAGAGGTTTAGAGCTTTTGATTCTGCGGTTCCTGCTTGCGCTGAACCCACAGATCACAAAGCACCAGAGCAAGCCCATGGGAACCTATCAAGCCGTCTCAAAACGTGCAGACTTCATGCAGTAACGTCAGAACTAGATGACTGTTTGACTCTGTTACCCTGTCTGATGAAAGCCCATGCAACTCGGCGAAGACGAGACATGATATATTCCCCTAAACCCTAAACCCTAAACCTTGCTTCGATTCCGAGGTTCGGATTTGCCATCACGTTTGTTGCTCGACCCATGGGAGGCCTCGGCTGGACCTTGAGCTTTGCTCTTTCTGGGAAATCCTACACACGGATCCACAAGTCTTGTGGGTAGGGTCTTGCGACATGGGTTTTGTGAGGGTTTTTAGAGGGGGATTGTGCATTGTCAACTTGTTTTCATCACCGATGAGCCCTGAAGCCTGAAACCCCAAGGATTGTCGTCGAACCTATTTCTGCAGACCATGCCAGGGTACTCCGAGAGTGTCAAAAAAATCCAGAACCCCTCAGTCCTTCCGGCCTTCACTTCACCACAAGCCTCGTCTGGACTTGTCCGAGTTCTGAGCGCCGAAACCCACAACTCGAAGAGCAAAGATCCTTGGACATGGAGCTCCCAAAGTCGGAGAGCACGGATGCTGTGATAATGTCCCTAATTAGGGTTTCCAAACATACAGAGAGGGCTCCTCTTAAAGACTGTCAGTCCTCCGGTCTTCGCACGTCCTCGCTATACACAAACCCTGTGGTTTTCGTTATCCTTCAGATCCAAGGGTGTGTCTTCTGCATATTCGGTCTCGCCATGCCCCGGAAGCAGACGTGTAGGACTGTACGATTTTGTAAGGCAGGTTTAGAGTATGGGCTTCGGGCTGCAGGTTTATATGTTAAAAGGTCGGAGACTTCGGTTTTACGAGCTTGATTGCGCCGAGTTCAGGCTTCAGGGGCGGACGATCAACTGCTCGGAGGCTTCGCATTGGGCTACATCGCTGACAACATTGGGCGCAAGCTTTCGGTGAACCTTTCTCTAGGCCGGTTCGGACACTGACCCCTGCAGGCCCTCTAGCCTACAGTGCTTCAGGGGAAGAGCATGTGTCTTGGGTTAGCTTGCATTCCTGGCTGTGATCACTCTTCCTCCCTCCCGCGCTCTCTCCCTCTTCCTCGTCCTCAGAAAGCAGAAATCGTGACTGGTTTGTACCTCTTTTCCTCCAGGACCCCAACCCTTCACCCAGCAACAACACGACACAAGAGAAGTCGCAAATGCAGGATTTGCCAAATACGTGTGTCACCAGGTTTAGGGTCTGTTTAGGGCGGGTTTTGGGATGCGGCTGAACACTTGAGGTAGCTTTTTCTGGGTGGTTTCGGTCAAGTTGCAGGAGGGCATAGGGCCTGCAGGCTTTTGGCAGTCAGGTCATAGCTTCGGCTGAAAACATCTTGGCTCAAGTGCCATTGTGCTACGAGGGCTGCCATGGGCAAGCTCTTAATAAGACTGTTTTACAGTGTCCACCTGGACCTGCACCCCTGACAAGGGAAATATTAGTGACTTGCACTTCACCTTGTTGGATCACTGTCGTTGATGTTCAGGTGTTCTAGGATTCTAGGAACAGGATTCCAGGATGTTCTGTTTCGAAGCGCGCAAAGCAAAGAATTTTCTCGGAGAGCTGCAGATGTTCGCTGCTTATCGAGGAGCAGATCTCAAATCCGCGCCCTCTTCCGTAAGCCTTAAACTTGTTAACCCCAGACCCTAATTACACTGTAAACCCCAAACTCTAACTCTAACCCTCTCGCATGACTGGCAACTATATGTCCACAAGCGAGGTTGTCTAGGAGTCAATCGGTACTTGCATGAGCTTAAGTTGCCAGCCATGCGAGAGGGAAATAACTCTAACCCGAGGCCTTAAAGTCCTAGCCACTCTGCAGTGGTTTGAGTCCCGTCCAGCAGCTTGATATCCGGATTGCAGGCGGCATGATCGTGGCAACTGTGGGCCAAGGACTTCTTCCAGGCAAACTTCGGGGTTGCTTATGGCTACAGCAGGTTCGACTTTTTCCGATAACCCCATGTTCCTCGAGTAGGCTTTTTTTTCTTTCTGTTGCCGGGTTGTGTAAATACATGTGGGGACTTCTTGAAAGTGTTGTTAGGCAGGATTGCTAGATGAGAGCAGTGAGTCCCTCAGCTAGGGTTGCTGATCAGGACTTGGAACGGGTGGGTGTTTTCAGCGTCTCTACTTGGTAGGCCATTGTTCAAACAGGTACCTTGCTTGCAGGGGTTCTTGATTTTCTTTAACAGCTTCTATTTGGCTTCAATCATCTTAGAGGCTTTTGTCGAAAGAGGAAGCATCTCCCGCAGAACTCTTCGGAGCTCAGAATGCCAGAGGGCTACGTATATTTACAGAGACGCACGAACACAGCTGTAGATCAATACATTCGCTGTATGTACAGATACATGTACATAGACGCACATATACATGCATGCACACATACGTGCACACATACGCACAGACACACTCACAAACACCCTTTTCCTCCACATGCCTGCATAAGCGCGCACACAGATGTATATGTGTATGTATGTATGTATGTATATATATATATATATGTATGAATAAGTAATATTGTATATATATATATATATATGGGTAGGTAGTCATTCCCCCACCCCTGCATTTCTGCAACTTTGCTTTTATATTCATGGATTCTGCTACCTGGTTTCGAAACTAGTGTCTGTTTCGAAACATATCCGTAGGAGGCCCCAACCCGACCCATTGACCCATTAACCCAATCATTTGCCCAACCCATTAACCCATTAACCCAATCATTTGCCCAAAACATTAACCCATTAACCCAATCATTCTGGCCAAATGAAATTGCCTTAACCCATTAACCCATTAACCCAATCAGTCGCCCAACCCATTAACCCATTAACCCAATCATTTGCCCAACCCATTAACCCATTAACCCAATCATTCTGGCCAAATGGATTTGCCTTAACCCATTAACCCATTAACCCATTAACCCAATCAGTCGCCCAACCCATTAACCCATTAACCCAATCATTTGCCCAACCCATTAACCCATTAACCCAATCATTCTTGCCAAATGGATTTGCCTTAACCCATTAACCCATTAACCCATTGACCCAATCATTTGCCCAACCCATTAACCCATTAACCCAATGATTTGCCCAAGTGGGACTGGACTCTACTCCCAAGTTCAGTTGGCCAGATTGATTGGGTTAATGGGTAAATGGGTTAAGGCAATTTCATTTGGCCAGAATGATTGGGTTAATGGGTTAATGGGTTGGGCAACTGATTGGGTTAATGGGTTAATGGGTTGGGCGACTGATTGGGTTAATGGGTTAATGGGTTAAGGCAATTTCATTTGGCCAGAATGATTGGGTTAATGGGTTAATGGGTTGGGCAAATGATTGGGTGAATAGGTTAATGGGTTAATGGGTTAAGGCAATTTCATTTGGCCAGAATGATTGGGTTAGTGGGTTAATGGGTTATGGCAATTTCATTTGGCCAGAATGAATGGGTTAATGGGTTAAGGAAATTTCATTTTGGCCAGAATGATTGGGTCAATGGGTTAATGGATTGGGCAACTGATTGGGTTAATGGGTTAAGGCAATTTCATTTGGCCAGAATGATCGGGTTAATGGTTTAATGGGTTAATGGGTTAACGGGTTAACGGGTTAATGGGTTAATGGGTTAACGGGTTAAGGCAAGTTCATTTGGCCAGAATGATTGGGTTAATGGGTTAATGGGTCAATGGGTCAACGGGTCAATGTTTTAATGGGTTACATACTGGGTTGGGGCCGTGGCAGGCGCGTGTTTCGAAACATACGCTGTGTTTCGAAACTCACGCCTAGCTATAGCCCGCTACAGGTTAAATGTTACGTAAACTGACAGTTGTTCCAAGCAGTGCGAGCTATGTGTATATATATATATAAGAGTATGATCAGGCCTCTGGCATTACGAGTGTGAGAACTGACAGCACAACAAACTGATGCCCAGTTCGCTTCACCAAGTTGTCAAGAGTCAAAGCACCGAAAGCCTTAAGGATCAGTAATTCATGACCTATTCCATTAGATCATATTGAACTATGTTGTCTTGTTTTACATATGGTTCAAAATATACTTTTCTCCCTATCCCACAGTGGCTGAAGATTTTGCAAATGCATACGACTGTGTGGTACTATGTAGCATCTATATGCTTTCAACTATATACGAAACCGAACTGGTATCTACTGTAGCCTATGCTGTCGGCTCTAGGCTATACTACAGACCGATATTGCAGATTATACTATACACCATAATACTATACTACAGACTATATTGCAGACTATACTATAAACCATAGGCGTTAGTGTACAATGTACTTGTTCTGCACGAAAGACTATTCCATGCGCTCGAGGAGACACATAATACATACCATGTCATGTACTATGCTCTCTAGTATGCGCTATTTTCTAGGCAGTATACTACATTGTGATCTGCACTAAACTTTTACAGTTCACTATACTCTTCTTTCCTACACTATGCTTTACTATACAGGTATCTTATGCGTAATTTTGTTACAAGTTGCATTCTACATAGTTGTTATCATACATAAGCCCAAGAAATGATATCCTATCATGCTGTGCGGCATATGTTAGTCTGCTACTGATACTATATTCTTCCAAACATTGTGTTGTACCATGTTTTGATGCATGGGTTATTTTGAGTTAGACACAGATCATAATGGGCTATACAACATGAGAGTATATTACATGTGGTACCAAAGGCTTGGTTATATTAGGTCATCTCACCCTATACCGCGTCGTATCTATGTTAAACATCTGGATATGATTCAGTATTTCACATTATTTTTCATTTGCAAAATACTTGATGTAACGGCTGATGCTATACACTGGAATAGAATCGTATAGTACCATATAACGTAGCCCATGATAGAACATGTTATGCTCCAATACAGCACGACTTAAGTTGGCATGGTACAGTAAACATTTTGATGTGATGTAACCTGAAAAGAAAAAGTATCTGACAACCAGATGCATGCTCTATGTGACACAATACAGTCTACGACCGTCAGATATAGCGTGGCGAATGCCATTCGGAAAAAAGCAGTATTCTATCATGCTAGAGTACATTCTGTCTTATATCATTGTGTCGCACGAAATACTGCACATCTCCTAGATATTGTATGTTATATACTCTGAACCGTGTACGTGCCATAGTTTCTGCTATGTGATTTGAAATATATCGGTTTATAATTATACCATACTTCGTGGTATGGGGCATCTTATGCGTAATTTTGTTAGAACCGTGTATGTGCCATATTTTCTCTCATGTGTTTTGAAATATATGGGTTTATAATTATACCGTACTTCGCGGTATGGGGCATGACTGCGCACCCTTCGCACTGTATTGTATTGGGCGCAATACCGAAGATGCTGAAGTGTAGGGGTGGGGGAATGACCACGCGCCCATATATATATATATATATCTATATATATATATATATATATATATATATTGACAACAATACATGCATATTCATGTACAGGCGCACAGAGACACGCATATACAGAAATGAGAATGCATGTACATGTACATGTGCCCGTGCATGTCTCTATGTGAGTATACGTGAAATTGTGTGCCTAGACATGCATACATGCGCACACACAATACACCCGTATATATATATATATATATATACACGCACACACACGTTTTTTACATGCATAGATCCGGATACATATATATATATATATATACATACATACATACATACATGTGCATAGTAGACCTGTCAGTTGATACGCTTGCATGTGTAGAAGTATTTGCTTACGTATGTATGTATATACATATGTGTATATATATATATATGCGCATGAAGAGGTACACGTACAGACACATACGCACTAACACATACAGCCACATTATATGTACACCGGCCGGAGTGCTCGAGAGAGGGAGGGAGACAGAGAGAGAGAGAGAGAGAGAGAGAGAGAGATGGGGAGACATAGAGAGGCAAGCTGCATATGGACAAAGATGCAAATGTTTTGGCTTCGCCATCAGAGCTTGCTGGACAAATGTTTTCTACTGCATGGCTGTACACTGCTGTACATCTAAACATGCGATCCCGAAAGCTGCAAACTTGTGCCTATGGCCGAAGCCGCAAGAAGGCAAATACTTCCTTGGCGGCGCGAAGGACTTGGGCTTGGTATTTCTGATTTGCGACTTGGAAGGCACCAGCAAGGTTTCTGTTTTCGAAGTGACTTGTTTCACGATCCCTAGTAGCCCTAGTACCCTGCTTGTGGTAGTATTGCTGCTTTTTGTTGTCATTGTGAGAATTTCAGTGCTAGATCGGCCCAGCTTGTCGAACCCCTTTCCCCCCTTACGATTTCATCCCGGACTCTTACGGAGCTTGAACCATTCCAAGAGGAATGGCATCAGCAGCAAGACCAATGTTCGCCGCATAATCTTCACCGTCAATGCATGAGAGGATAGTGTTAGCCTTAGGCCTAGACTGCAACGAAACCCTCAGTTCAAAACCTTACCACGAACGCCTTAGCCGCGTACCTTATGTAAGCCTCAGCTCTGAGGTTGCAGAGCTTTGCAGGGGCTGTCCGCGGGTGGCGAGATCGGCGCAGTGTCCGCATACCTCGTGGAGGTCTTGTCTTCTCGGGCTGACTTCTCAATATACTTTGGGTTGTGAGTTTAGTCCCTAACTTCTTGCACCGGAGAAGTCGCATGATCGGTTTTGGCGACATCCTGGATGAAGTCTGCCTTGCAGCATGCTGATTCGGTTCTGTCGGCTCCTCTCTCACTCTCTTTTGCTTGTGCTCTGAGCGCTGCCTTCCTTCATGATTTGGCAATTCTCAGAGGAACTTTTCGAGCCAAGTTTTGACCGACCCTGGCGCAGGTTTCTCCTGTGAAGACTTTGGGCATGGCCGTGTGCATGCTTCCTGGCTTAAACAATGTCACCCTGTCGTGTGGAGCTTTTGCGCGATGCATGTGCGGTTACATTGTATTGTTGCCTTCCCAAGCCCTTGCCTGTCAGGCCTGCAAATCATTCACGCTCTTATCGTAACTACCACAAGGAGGACGAGCAGGGGGAGGCGGAGCACGAGGACGAGGAGAGGAGGACGAGGAGGAACAACAGCAGCAGCACTGGTAGTCGTCGTGCTCAGTATGGTAGCCGTGGTGGTTGCTGTCAGAGCGCTCGTCATCTTAAGCGATTCTCGAGGCGGAAGGAAACGAAGGATGAGTCTCAAACATAGTTGCCGCTGTGGTAGGAGCAACAAAGCAAGACCCCAAAGCCTAAACTCTAGACAAGTTTGCTCGGTCTGTATTTGCATGGTAGCACAGCTCGGTGGCTCAACCCTTGAGAAACTTAGCTAAAGCAGAGGAAAAGCAGTGGGCAGTTAGTTATTCCTGAAGGGTAATGTGCAAGAAGAAGTGGAAGATCAAGAGACTTCTCTTCTTCTCAAGATCGTTTTCCATTTTGGGGTGTTTAGCTCGGGGTCTACTGGAGTCTACTGAGGGCCCTGAGAAGCATCGGACCGGCCCCACTGCATTTGTTGAAGTTTGGCCTTGGTGACTTTCGATGCTGGCTTGGGGGGGGGGAAGGCACAGGTTAGGCGAACCTGGAGAAGGTAGTAAGGTGTCGGGAGAGTAGGCTAGTGTTCCTCTTCTCCATTTTCATTGGCCAGGCATCAGGTTTGACGAGTCATGCTGACCAGGGGTGGTGATGCTCATGGTCATCGTTGTGCGGTCCCGGCGTGTCAAACACCGAACGCGCGTCACATCCCAAGAAGCTCCAAACACATCGAAGCTTCCAACCTGAAAGTCGCAGCCCTACAGCCTACACAACCCGAAGCCCTCTACCAATACATGTCCCGCAGTGTTCGATGACGCTTGAAGTGTGCACGCAATTTCAAGGTTTTTAGTGTTTAGGTCCTAAGCTTTTCGGCGTTTAAGATTCAATACTTCAGGGTTCAAGGCTCAGACTTACGTTCAGGCTTGGGCCGTGGGGGGGGGGGGGGTGGGGCGTTTATGCTGAGATGTAGGGCTCCGCGGCATGAGTGCATTTGCTCTATGCTCAGGATTTCCGTGGGCAGCCAGATTGCGTGGGCCTTTGCCAGTCTTCTGGTGGCATTGCTCAGCAGCTCGCTGACAGACCAGCAGATGCTGGAGTGGGGCTGGCGCATACCGTTCCTGCTCCTTGATCTGGCCTTGGCAGCCGTTTTCTTGACCGTTTGTGGAGGCACCACACCACGACCACGACCACAACGACCATGATCACTACCACCACTACCACTATTGCTACGACTCCTCCTCTTCCTCTACTCCTCCTATTCCCCCTCCTACTGCTATTCCTACTGCTACGGCGACGACGAGTGCTGCTACTACTACTACTACTACTACTACTACTACTACTACTACTACTACTACTACTACTGCTACTGTTGTTACCGCATGCTACTGCAACTGCATGCTGCTGCTCCTGTTACTGCTAGTGGTGGCCTTGAGTTTTTCTTTCCGCTTTAGTGGCTACCCATCGTCGTCGTCATCATCATCGTGATACCATCTGTGTGCACTTAGATGTGCCACGACAGCGGCCCTGATCACCAGGCAGTCCCAAGCCTTCTAAGGATCTCTGCGATCCCAGGGGCGATTTCTATGTGGGGCCGCAACAGGTGCTTCTGTGAGTGTCGTGTAGAATGTTAGAGCATGTTTCTGACCAGGCTCTGGCATCATCAAGGGCTTTAGCCGCCCTTAGGAATTGAGCTAGACGTTGTCGCAGGTTTCTGGGATACAAGAAGGGCTTGATCTGTAGGATTCTGCAAGGTTTACGGTTGTCGCCGGCCCACAACCAAGGGTTCCCCATCCTGATATGATTTTGTTTTTGTCTGCGATGTTTGGCCATGGTTCGTCAATTCTGCAGCTGCGGGTTCATTCCATTGCATTACTTGTAGTCCATGTAGTCCATCCCCGAGACCCTCCGATTTCTCAGCTCAGGGTCGTTGGGGACAGCCTACCGTCGTTTCCAAACGAGAGACCTGCTACAGAATGCTAGAACGCTAAGGGGTCATGATAGGGAATCAAGTTCAGTCCATCTACTTTGGTCTTGAAGGGCATGGGGGTGATTCATGAAAGATCAGGAAGGTCTACTGGGTTTTTCGCTATAGTTTGTGTGAAACCGCATCGGACGAACACTTAGCAGTAACACGCAGCCAGCTTGGGATGAGGTCGAGGTTAAATCCTGAAATCCTGCACCTGAGAACCCTCAACCTGAAACCCTTCAAGGATAAAGCTCTACAGGGCCGGCTGTGTGGCGAACTTAAAGCACTGGCCAAGGCCTATGCCATGGTCGAGTCCTGCAGAAAACTCGAAAGCCGGACAGCCTTAGGCCACCAGGAAGCCTAAGCCGCTTTCCCGCTAGGATCCCGGAGACCGACACCTTCCTGGAGATAGGAGGCGAAGGTGCCGCTGGCAACCGGAGCCAGAGCGAGAGAGAGAGAGAGAGAGAGAGAGAAGATAGGGGCCACAAAATATGGGGGGGCCCTAGTGGCCGAGGGGTCTAACCAACCCCTCATGGTGGTATAATCGGAATATAATAGGACCCTAATGTATAATCCTTATAGTCACCATTGCAGGGTGGGGGCCCCTTCTAATATCTACAGTACAAGCTCAGGGCGTCAGGGTTTAGGCCTTCTTTGTATTCGGGTTTACGGTATGATCCATGCTATGACGTGCAGCTGCACACGTAGGCGTCGTTCTTGTACTCTTTGCCATGCTGGGGAGGTGAAACATCCAGGAGCCGATTCGGCTTCTTTGAGCTCCTCAAGGCCCTTTGCTCTTTGCAGTTTAGGCCCTTAGGCTTTCACTCTCAGGATTTCAGGGTGTATCAGGATTTTGCGCAGATTCGGGATGTGAAAGACTTTGCGCGGAGGGGCATCGGCCGCAAGCAGTAGGCATGCGGCGGGTGGAATCAGCCATTGGGAGCAAAAATGCTCATGGGATTGCGTGTCCGTCAGAGTTCATCAAGGTGGGTTCGACCTGCGGCGGCGTGATAAGCCATGCGGAATTCATCCATGCAATGACGGATGTAGTGTCGAAAGAGCATAGCGCAATAACACATCCCCCCCATTTCTGGCCCAAGAAGCTAGGTAAACCCTTACCTGACGTCGTCGAGTGCGAGTGCCAGCCAAAGGTGGAAGTAGGAGGCATGAATCGCCCGGAGGAGCATCGTTTGAGCCTGTTGGTCGGCTTCGGCGCCTGCTTTGCGACTGCCACGATGTGGCCCCTCTGTCTGAAGCATGGGCCTTGAGTGCCTAATTCATTGGGAATTCGTGTTGAAGCAGGTTTCGGGACCGGCTGTAACCAGGTTGTGGATGCGGAAATGTCAAACCAAAACACCACAGCCAATCAACACTGGAAGCTGGAACACTCCAAATCCAAAGCAACACTCCAAATCCAAAACCTCTGGAGCCGAAACCCTTGAAATCCGAAAGCCCAGTGTCAGAACCCAGAGTCAAAACCCAGAAAAGGCGGAGGGGAGCGGGGCCGACAAAAGTTTTGATTCCTCAATCTGTCCCGGGCCCTAAACCCTAAAGTCGAGACACTCAACGCTTTGACTCAGCTTCTTCAGATGGAAAAGGGCACTCCCGAACCCCAAAGCAACACACTTGTTTAGCGCGTTTGATGCTTACTGCTTTGCTGCTTGCTGTCCTCAGTCTTCATCGGTACCACTCAGGAGACCCACAGAAATATTCCTCTCCTAGAGTCTCCGAGTTGCGAGCGCCAACACTACACTTTAACAACCTATAAGCATAGAGCCTGAACCGTTTAAGAAACATTTTTCCAATAAACATAGTACAAAGTAAGGTAGATATACTTACTGTTATATAGTGTGCAATATGCAATATGCATGTAAGGTGTATACAGCATATAACACGTACATACATCCATACATGCATACTTATACCATATACAAGATAGACTATACAGAAGCGAATACACAATGCACATAATACGTAATACAGAGAGACGTCTGTGTGTGCGTGTGTGTGTGTGTGTGTGTCTGTTTCTAGGTAGGTAGGTAGGCATGTATGCACGTATGAGTGTGTGTATGTATGTATGTACGTATGTATGTCTGTCTGTCTGTCTCTATGCGTGTACGTGCACATGTGTGAGCGTGTTTGTGTGTGTGTGTGTTTGCATGCATGCATGCACGCATGCATGGGTCAGTCATGTATGTATGTATGTATGTATGTATGTATGTATGTATGTATTCATGTATGTATGTATGTATGTACGTATGTTTGTATGTACGTATGTATGCATGTATGTATGCATAGACATCTGTATGTACGTACTCTCTCTCTCTCTCTCTCTCTCTCTCTCACACACACATGCATATATGATCCCGGCTCTCGGTTCGCCGACCCCCCCCCCCAAACCCACTCCCCAAGCTGAATCTGTATGACGCGCACACTTTTGCACATGCGGGTCCCAAAACCGTCATCTGTCACGAGGATCGCGTCCCAAACACGCCCGATCATGTTGACTGTGGGCACTTCCCAAAGAATAAACAAGGCAACTGTCACGAGGACTGCGTTCCCTGACAGGCCCGATCCCTGTGACAGTTGGCCGATTGCAACCTTTTGGCAGTTGCCCCCACAGCAACAACTGTCACGAAGATAGTGGCCCTACGATCAATAAAGCGATAATCATTACCAGGCACGTGGGCAGAAGATGCCCGACGACCAACCAATCAAACATTAAGATGCTTGAGTTAATGATGATGGTGATCATCGTCCCCATCATCATCATATGAGTATACCATAGACCCAAAACAGACCGAAAAACGCCGGGGCACACCATTCCACAAGAGGGAAGGGGGGAACCACCCCAACCAGACCCACCCCCGGACCACACCACACCACAGGGAGGGGGGAAGCAAACCACCACCACACCGCACCACAGGGGGGTGGAGGAACCATGGGGGGGGAGGGGGGAACGGCCGAACCGGGATCATATATATATATATATATATATATATATATGTATGTATATGTATATGTATGTATATGTATATGTATATGTATATGTATATGTATATGTATATGTATATATCTACATATCTATATATCTATATATATCTATATATATCTATATATATATATATATATATATATATATTACACACATGTGCAGATAGAATCCGAAACCCCACCTCCGCAATCGGCGGAGGTTCGCCCCACCTTTTTGGACGGTCACGGCGGTTCTCGAGCTTGAGTCGGCTGACAACTTGTGGGTGGCCCCGGGAAGACAAGGATTAGGGTTTGTAAGCTTTAGCGCTTTCGGCTTTTAGGGTTTGCGACTCGCTTTGACCAAGTTCGCTATTTTGTGTTGCGCCTTCTGTGTTTGTCTCATATTTCGTGGGTACTAAGCCGGGCGCGTTTACGGACTTTTAGACTTTAGGTTTTACTGGAGTTTCGGGTTGAGAGGCTTGCAGATCGGTCACTTATATAGAGGTTAGGCACCACCGACGCTCCAAGAGGCAGAAAGAGCGAGATGCAGAGAGCGAGAGTGGAGGGCAACAAGCCTCCACCCTAGCCGTGGCGAAAGAAAGAGCGAGAGAGCGACAGATAGAAACACAGACACAACAAACCAACGAAATAGAAATAGCGGGTTAAAAAGGAGGGCGATGCGACATGTCTTTCGTTGATAATTATCCCTTTTGGCTCTGGAAGGTGGGCAATTCCTGCCAGCTGCCCCTGGGCTTTTTTTGAGATTTCAGCATGGCATCCTCTCTTTTTTGTTCTGCTTACCGTGCGCTGGCTTTGCTAAGGATCGGTCTTGCCGTTACACCCGTGGCGGCCATGGTGACTGACAGGTATGGCGTGGGCTTCTGTGTACTGGTGGGAGCAATTTACGTCCTGATCATCTCGGTTCCGACCTACACTTGGACTCCCGCAAGACCCAGAAGACGTTTTCAGGTTTGACTAGGCTTGGGGTGTATAAGCTTATAAACCTTACATTGCCAGTGCCTTTTTGCAGCCTCAAAGCCCAGATTTGAGCCCGTTAGGATTGCTTTCAACCCCGCCGATCGCGAAGTGGCGTATGTGGGCCTGGGTTTGCTCTTCGGTTTGGCACAGGCGCTGTTTTCTGTGGGGACGTCGGAAGGAGCAAACAGTCGCTGTAGGCTTTGGACGACGAAAAGGTTTTCAGACGATTCTGCTACGTCTGTGACTGATTCCCCCTGCAACTCATCATGTTTTGTTGCATCCCGGTTTCTGCTGAATGACAGCCCGGGAATCTTCCACTGTAACGGTCCACGATATAGACGCCATAGTCTCTTGCTATATCTACATGGTTTCCTCATGTTTCATGATTGCGTTTGTCGCTGAAGTGCACTTTCCAAAGCAAGCCAAGTTCAAATTATTCGACGTGAGCTGCGACGTATCCCGAAAGCTGAAAACCACTGCTGCTGCATGCGCTGCGTGACGTGGTCTTCTCCGTCCAACCCTGCATAGTAGACCAGGTCAGGCGATGGCAGGAGGACGTATGGGGCAAAGACTATTAAACCAAAAGCCAAGAGCACTGAACCGTAGAGGCGATCCAGACGCTTGTCTTTGTGACTTTGCCCTTTTCATTTTCTTCTGCCCCGAAACCCCGACCTTAAAGAGCAGGTTTCTGGACAGTGAAGGTCGGGTTTGTGTTGATAGCGAATGCTCGCAGACGGTCTGCGAACATCCTTACAACTTGCACCCTGGTGCGCGAAGACTTCCGCCAATTCAAGTTTCACGGAACACTGACATGTTATGAAAGTTTATTTCGATGTGGCTCGATCTAGTTTGAATCATCTGCTGGTCACTGAAGCCAGCTCGCCAGTCTCCCTCTCTCTTTCTCTCTCTCCCTCTGTCTCTGTTTGTCTCTCTTGAAGCTTCACTCTGTCTTCAGGTTTAGGGATTTAATGGTCTACGGCCTTGGGGAAGCGTGTAGGGCCTGGGGATGGTTCAAACTCTACGACTCTCCAAATCCCATAAGCCGTGCGCAGGGCTTCTGCGGAGCCACGATCTACCTCTTTTGCGCTGAGCTCTTTCCGGCCAGGCCTGTCTCATGGTTTCTTCAATGAAGGTTTGGAGCTTATGTCTTTGTTACCCATAGTTAGTTTGGGATTCGTGGTTGGGGGCTTGTAGTTGACGCTTGGGAGTTACGTCTTGTTCAAGGTTGAGCACTTATCTTTCTACGGCTCTCGGATTGTTGTGGCGACGTTCATTAGTCTTTTTCGAGCTGCACGTACACCTTGGGACGTCGCGCTAAGAACCTGGTCTTGCTTCCGATATTGCTGGTATTGCTGTTTATTAAGGTATAGTAGGAGAAGGTATCATTTACACCTAGCGGTGTAGTCTTGGTAAGATGCACAATGGTTATTGCGCGGTGGTGGCGATCTGATGCGGATCTTGGGCTGACAGACGGCCATGGTCACAATCACGAGCTGACGCAGATCTGAGGATGACAATCTCACAAGCCCAAACCTTAGACCTGCCTTTTGCAGGTATTGCGCAAGATCCCTTAGCCTGAAACATGTGGAGTTCAGGGCTTCAGGGCGGAGGGCAAGCGTCTAACCCGCAAAAGTAATTACCTGTTCATGTTCGCATCGCAACGACCACCGCATTTTCCAGCGCCATCAGCAACATGGTTTTCGTTCCGTCCCACATCACCCTTTCCAAGAGTAGCAGTAGTAGTAGTAGTAGTAGCAGCAGTAGTGGTAACAGTACCTAAACCCTATAAAGCTTAAACCCTACTTATAAACCCTAAACCCTAAACTCACCCTTCCCAGGCTGCGGGCACAGGGAATGTCCCTGAGCTACAACATTTGCCTCAGCTTCATCGGGGGCTTCGCTGCTAGCATCTCCCAGTCGTTGCACCTGGGCCGCTAGAGGCCGTTTTGAGCCTCTTTTTTTGCCAGGGTTTAGGGTTAGGGGTTTAGGGTATAGGGTTTAGGGTTTGCAACTTTGAAGAAGCCGGGGGAAAGGGGAACTCTTGCTGTAACCGGGCTGCTGGACAACGAGGCCTGCTGCAAAAAAGGGTTTGCAACTGTGCCGCGCGCAGGCACACCTAGACACTGACACTCATCGCAGCGGATTCCTCACGGATGGGCTGGTTTGTTGTAGCGTCGAGTGGACCACAAAAGCAATTAATCGAAAAACGCAAGCTGTGCTAGATGTCCTTCATTTTATCTCTGTTTTATTGGGTTTTGGGCTTTGACGGATTGAGCAACTCTGCCAATGCAACCTTGGATGCAGAGACTGTCGAGCAATCTTCAAGTCTTAATGACTGGCAGCAGAAGAGTCTCATCATGGTGTATATCTGTAACATGTGCCGAAGACTTTGCTTTTGAAACCTCCTACTTCTGCATCAACATGCCAAGGGCCACATCACCACTCGAATCGTGAAGGCTCCTAAACTACACCAGGAGGCGGAACTTCCATGCTGGACTTCAGCTCGAGCATCAAGCCCAGCATGGGGCCTCAAAGCCCGAGGGCGGCAAAAATCAAGATCCCGTTGAGGTCCAGCGCTTTGTAGGGGCTTAGTCGTTTAGATTCGATTTCACGTACGGCTCAGGGTTCACGGGAACACTCTACCCCTCCCGAAACAATACTCCTACATTTTTTGGAGTACTGAAGGAATCTAAGATCTGGAACTACAGGAATGTTCTGCTAAATCCTGAGCCGTAGATTGGAACATTGAGCTGATCCCGAAACTCGAATCTGGAATCCAAGGCAGAGCCTCTCCCCTCACTGGGCCCCGGGAATCTACTGGGCCGCGACTGGCGCGATCAGCATCCCGGAACTGAGATTTTGGAGCGCCAGTTTCATTCAGGTTTTAGGGTGTTAGGTCGCAGTACTTTTTTAGGGCGCAAGATTCCGGGCTGCGCCTGCCAGCCATGCTGCTTGACGTCTGAATTGCGAACAGAGCAGCAGACCCACAGCTCCTGAAGCCTTGACTGCTCCACGTCTCTCCAACCGAAGATAGTCCCAAGTCCTTTAGTTGTTGCTGAACTTGCCGCAGGTATAGCCAGCGTCTTGCTGGGTGTCGCGTTGCACAAGAAAGGTTTCATCACGCTGGGTCACAGGAGGACACGCGAAGTTGTTGCTTGTATGACGATGCTAGACGGCTAGCTATGCCTGAATCTCGTTCGAAAGCGCGAGCCTTGACTGCTCGTGCAGATGGCCGTGACTCTGAAAGCACATCCCGACCGACGGAGCCGCAGACTCATCTGTGGAGGAGCCAGCCCTTCTTCGGCTACGTGGCTGCTGTAGAGGAGAAAGACATCGCCGTAGAGGAGAAGGAAATCGCTTCCTGCTAGGCCGGTTGGCCATGGCTTTGCTTGTTGTGGGGCTATGTGGGGTTTGTCGCTTGGGCGTCTTAGCCTCACACGGTCACATGGTTGCGGAAGAGGAGAAAGACATCGGCGTAGAGGAGATGGAAATCGCTTCCTGCTAGGCCGGTTGGCCACCAGGAGGTGGCTGCGCCTGTGCCTAGTATGGGGCTATGCGGGATAGTTATCGCTTGGGCTTCAACATGGGTTAGGTCTTTGGCCTCACACAGCGTTGCCACTCTTCGCACTGCACAAGCCCGTAAGTTGGAAGCCCGGTTACTTTCGGGATGGTCTCTTCCATATTCAGAGACGAAGCTTGTCAATTTCCGACGTGGCAGGTCTTTTGCAACCTTCTTCAGGGACACGAGCCCTGGGCCCTGAGGCCGGTTGCGTCTCGCATGCCGGGCTAAGATCCGAAGTTTCCATGCGCAGGCGTGCATGATGTGCAGTCTGTCAGCTTATCCTTACTACAGGGATGCGGTATACAGAGAATTCGATCGATGGCAGTGCAGCTCTTTGTACAGCCTCGGCAATGCAAAGTGTGCCAGGAATTTGAGCTCGCGAGACCATGCCTTTAGCAGCAAGCGGCGTCGATCGTCGTTCCACTTGCCTAGTCGAGGTACAATATAGTTACATCGTCGGGGCACAGTGCCGAAATCGGCTAATCCTCAACATCAAGGCCCACAAATCGAGAAGTGTGGCAAAAGAGCCCGAAGACCTAAGCCCCATGCAGACCTTCGACCTTACTACAAAGCCAATACATCGCGAACACGGCAAGATGGCATGTATGAAACTTGAGCTAACGAACACACACCAATATGTGCATGTGGCTGTGGGCGCAGCTATGTTTTACACATCGACATTCATGTTTCCATACATGACATGCATACACAGACGGATCATACACTCGTACGTGCGTGGTCACATGCCTATGGGTACATAGAGATAATTTTAAAGCGACATGGGTAAGTAGAGAGATGATTACTTACATGGATACGTACATCCAGTCATGGTTCAAGCATGCATACATAACGAGACACATAGGCACATAATACGTACGAACAAATTGTACGCAGCTTCATACATACATGCATTCATGCATGCATGCATTACGCGCATTGTAGTAAGACCCATCTATCCTGACGCACATGCTACCTGCAGGCAGGTATACATACCTACCTGCCTACCTACTTACATACCTACGCACATACACACACACACACATGTATCACACGTGCACGCATACGCACATTTGCTGCATGCCTGCATGCATACATACATGCACGACAACACCTCCTGCTAAGCAACTAAGCAGCGACTCAGCTATCCAGCTACCTAGCTACCTCTCTACCTATACCGACCAACATTTACATGGCTACACGCGTGCGAGGTAGATACCTGCATACGTACAAACACAGAGACTGACAGACAGACAACATGCATACAGATATTCGGACCTCCAATACGGTATCCGACACACAGCACGCTAAACTAGCAAAATTACATGACTTTGCATTGCTTACCGTACCTAACCTCACCTACCTTGCCTTTCAAGACCTTGCCTTGCCTTACTTCACCGTAATTTAGAATACCTTACGCTACCTTTGATTTCATCACGTCACATTATATCACGTCATCATGTTGCATTTCGGCATTTTACATGGCAGTTGCAGGCATGCCTGCGTGCATGCACACACACATGCATGCACGGGTCCAGACATCCATGCATCCATCCATCCACTCATCCACCCAGGCATACTTACATGAATAGATATAGATGCACAAGAGATATAGATATAGAGTAGATAAGTATACATTTAATATGTTCTTATTTATGTAGTGATGCATACGTATACGTATGCGCACGTGTACACACGCATGTGTGTCTTTAACTCACGAGATGGGCCGAGAGATCAGATTCAGTGGATGTCTTCCGGTAAGGCCTTGACTCAGCTGGGGGTTTCCGAAAACAAGGGACCCCAACCCTAATATAGTACCCTAAATAGTAGGATCCTGATTTTCAAGAGCCCAAATAAGGTACCCCTAATTTTCGGAAATTCCCAGCTGCACTCTCCATCTGTCAAAGGACTGGAGTCGGTGCGGCTGCCACCTTTGGTCATCGGCGCGCGTGGTGCTTGGAAGGGTGGCGGTGGGGGGCTGACTCAGATCTTATGAGCCCTAAACAGATTTGTGCGGACGGAAAGCTTTGCGATTGAAGCATTGATTCTCAGCCCTTCAGAATATTCTATGAGTTTTCGATTTGAAGTTCTGTGCTCTTATGTTGCCCCCAACTGCAAGGCCACAGTTCTAGCAAACCCCCAGATAAATAAGGCTTGGGACAGTTGGCATTCACATCCCGTTATCGTCATTACATTTTTGTCCTTGTTTTGGCACTGCACACTATGTGATGGCTGAATGACAAGCGAATAGTCGTCACGAGTCGCGGCGAGCCATTGCTGTCCTTGCTCTTGTCGCTTCCCACTAAGAGACCTGCCGTGCTTGGCGGTGCCGGCAGCCAAAACGCCCTAAACTCTACACTTTTGTGACCTGCGACCTTCTTGCAGCTAGGTCGGAGCGCAAGCTTGGGGTCCCAGGCACCAATCGCGACTTGGATTTGCACGATTTTGTAGGTGGGATTTCGGCTTTAAGGTTTCATGAAGCTGTTTTGTAGGCCCGAGTGCCGTACAAGCCCGGAATTGCGCCACACTGCATGTCTTCGTTTTATAGGGGTTGGACTAACGATCACGAGTTTCGCCCTGCAATCCCTCCATAGTGGTACTGTAAGCTTGTTTACCCCAAACCTCCTCCTACTAAAGGTACCTTACATTGCGGCTCTGCACTCAACCTCAAGATGCTTCAAGCTGATATCCCAAATGCAGCACACGAAAGCTGATGCCCTAGACCATACTATGAGCATGAACCCTTTTCGTCATAGTCTACCTCAATCCTGCTTGTGTGATCTTCGTGCCGTAGCGGCTGAGGTCTTGAACTAGTACAGTTTATGGCCGAAACATCTTAGTGATCGCACGACCGGTACCCGTAATGTTTATAGTAGGTTGTAGCTGGCAGGTCGTTTTGTTGTCAATCAAGGTCGTCCACATTTAATCAGACCTCGAAGCACATGCCTCGCTTGCTCCGTCCGAGTGTGACCACCAACACTCTAAAGCTGTCCGAACGCCGCGCTTTATCAATGACAGAAAGTCACCCCGAAGGGGAACCTTTGGAATCCCAGAGCTTGCTCAAATTTGTGGAAACCTCTAAGCCCTGAGCCCTAAAGCCTTGAAGCCCCAAACTCATCTAAATTGGTGGATCGCATCAGGCTGGTGTTCTGGCCTGCGCTGCTCGCGCCTCCGTGATCTTCGAGTTGACAGCTGGCCCTTTCTGGAGGTGTTTTGCCCCATCCGTATGAGGGCTTCTGAAGGTTCAGAGATGCCTCAGATTGAAGGTCCTCCTATTTAGGGTTTCTTGTTCTTCGTCCATGTTCGGGTCACTTACTTCTGAAACATCCGAATGAGGCAGGATTTATTGCAGATTGTTTTGTGGGCTCGGCGAGTAAACCGGAAGTGAAAGCATCAGACGTGTTGCTGTGTGGTCGTCACCCAAAGACTGAAACCAAGAAACTTGTCTGGTGGGCTCCGAGGCATGCAAACTGGAAGTGAAAGCATGAGACGTGAGTTCGCTGGGAATTTTGGTGCGGTTATTCGGTGGTGTCCTTGTGCGGGGTATTAACAGGCTAGTGGTAAACATCGCACCTGCTACCAGTTTAGGCTTGAATGGACATATGCAGTTTCCTGCTCAAATCTGCGGAGGGCAGGATACGATGCAGAGATACTTAATTACGGTGCTTCGATGGACACATACATGCGTGTATGTTGTATAACATCTCATACTACGTGTATGCTGTATTTCATATCATACTATGTTGCATAATATCATGTTATGGTACGTTCTAATCTAAAAACTGTTTCATCGATGTGGTTTGTAACATGTTATGCTGTATAATAAAAAACTGTATTATCGTGTTCTACTCTAACTAGTATGTTGTGTCATATCGTATGTTACATCTCTTTACAGTACATTATCTTCCATGATATTGTACAATATTATATCGTGTTATGTTGTATTTTATGACTTATTACGTCATACTATTACTCCATGTTATATCATGTTACACTGCATCATCTTGCTTTGTGTGCACCCACATAAAACTTGCGGTGTCAGTGGAACGCCCTGGGGCTAGGGACAACGCATGCTCTAGCTCCCGACGTAACGAGAGAGTCGGACGTTATCATTGATGTTCTTTTCCAGCTTCCCTCCTTCCAACCTTCCCAGAGCAGCACACGGCATGCATAAGTAGACTTAAGTATGTGTATATGTATGTGTGTATATATATATGTATATGTATATATATATATATATGTATGTCTGTTTGTTTGTTTCTTGTTTGTCTGCTTTATAATGTACACGTATGTATGTGCTGATTTAGAGAGAGAGAGAGAGAGAGAGAGAGAGAGAGAGAGAGAGAGAGATAGAGAGAGAGAGAGAGAGAGACCGAGAGAGAGAGTGAGAGACAGACAGACAGACAGACAAAGACCAGAGTAAGGATGGGTTCTGGCTTGGGCCTTATACCTTGGCTGCCAAGACCCAAATATTGAAAGCAGGGCCCCAAAAACCCAAGCCATTGAGGTTTTGTTTCTGATATGAGCACTAGACCATGACCACAAGGACCTGCGGGAGCCATGAACACAGCACAAGGTTCAACAAAGTCATCAACAAATCCAAGACCTCCGGCAAAAAGTTTGAAAATACATGAAACAGTGTCAGCAGCATACCTTAAGCCTGAAGGCCTAGTCGTGAGCACCAAACAGCGCTAGCAAGTCTTCTTGATCTAGGACTCCGGTGTGCAGATGCTGACCGTCGCGAGGCTCAGGGAGGATGGTTCAAGTTCGAGCACGTTTTGGTCGGTTCGGCATTGTAAGAGAACCACG